TGCACGAATTCATTGCAAACAGTGAGAAGATCACAATCGAAACAACCAGCAAAGCAATGGAATAGTTTTAGAGCGAAGAGGGTTTCGTCTTGAAAACAAGTCCAGCTGCCCGTCTCCCCAAAAGCTGATTTTAATTTTGATCCAGTAGGGGAAAAAATGGACAACAACAAAAAACAACAACAACAATGGTTATGAGTTGTCCAATTACTGTTTTTACAGTTGTGAGCTGTTTCAGGTATTGATCCCTCGCAGCTCGAGGATGATGGTCCTCCAAGTGCAGTGTCTTGGAAGTAGGTCCATAGGTGGTTGTGGAATCCTAATCTTGATGCACATGTTCTCCCACAGTAAAAACATCAGCTTCCAGGTGGAAGGTGGTCCCGGTCAGGGTTGACTGGACATGCCTTCCTCTTGCCATGTTTCTCCCTTTCACCCTCCATTCGTGCTTCTTCGAAAGGAGATTCCATCTGAACATTAGGAAGAACTTCCTGACTGTGAGAGCTGTTCAGCAGTGGAACTCTCTGCCCTGGAGTGTGGTGGAAGCTCCTTCTTTGGAGGCTTTTAAATAGAGGGTGGATGGCCATCTGTTGGGGGTGCTTTGAATGCAATTTTCCTGCTTCTTGGTAGAATGGGGTTGGACTGGATGGCCCATGAAGTCTCTTCCAACTCTATGATTCTCTGATTCTGCAACATTGCCAACGTAGCCCAAGAATGATGGTCCTCCAAGTACAGTGTCTTGGAAGTAGGTCCGTATGTGGCTGTGGAGCCCAATTCTTGATCCGCATGTTCTCCCGCAGTGAGATCAGTTTCCAGGTGGAAGGTGGTCCTGGTCAGGGTTGGCTTGAGGCGCCTTCCTCTTGGCACATTTCTCCCTTTCACCCTCCATTCATGAATTATAATGTAAATATCAGATATGTAGGATGTGTTTTCATTCGCTGCACAAAATTTGGCACAATTTATTTATTTATTTAAAACTTTTGTATCCTGATCTCCGTAGAGGGTTTCAGACCGATACGCTCAAATTTGAATACTGGTGGGGTTGAGAAAGGGATTGATTCTGTCATTTGGGAGCTGTAGTTGCTAGTATTTATCGTTCACCTACAATCAAAGAGCATTCTGAACGCCAACAACGATAGAATCGAACCAAACTTGGAACACAGAACTCCCATGACCAACACAAAATACTGGAAGGGTTTAGTGGGTATTGACCTTAAGTTCTGGAGTTGTAGTTCACCTACATTCAGAGAGCACTGTGGACCCAAATAATGATGGATCTGGAACAAACCTGGAACGAATACTCAATATGCCCAAATGTGAAAACTGATAGACTTTGGGAAAAATAGACCTTGACATTTGGGAGTTGTAGTTGCTGGAATGTATAGTTCACCTACAATCAGAGCAATGATTCCACCAATTATGGAATTGAACTAAACTTGGCACACAGAGCTCCCATGGCCAACAGAAAATGTTTGGTGGACATTAACCTTGAGCTTTGGAGCTGTAGTTCACCTGCATCCAGAGAGCACTGTGGACTCAAACAATAATGGATCTGGACCAAATTTGGCACGAATATTCCATATGCCTAAATTTGAACACAGATGGAGTTTGGGGGAAATAGACCTTGATATTTGGGAGCTGTAGTTGCTGGGATGTATAGTTCAACTACAATCAAAGAGCATTCTGAACCCCACCAATGATAGAATTGGGCCAAGCTTCCCGCACAAAACCCCCATGACCAACAGAAGATACTGTGTTTTCTGGTGTTTGGCTACCCCTCTGGCAACCCCTCAAGACCTCCCCCCCCCCCCCCCCCCGGGTTCTGATTCCTAGGTTGAGAAACACTGTTTTTTAAAGGTTAATACCAGAACTTCTGAATTAGATCAAGGAACAGACTGGATGTCAGTGAGGTTAATGATAAATACAGGAGGAAGGACATAGAATCAGAGTTGGAAGAGACCTCATGGGCCATCCAGTCCAACCCCATTCTGCCAAGAAGCAGGAATATTGCATTCAAAGCACCCTCAACAGATGGCCATCCAGCCTCTGTTTAAAAGCTTCCAAAGAAAGAGCGTCCACTATGCTCCGGGGCAGAGAGTTCCACTGCTGAACAGCTCTCACAGTCAGGAAGTACTTCCTAATGTTCAGATGGAATCTCCTGTCTTGTAGTTTGAAACCATTGTTCCATGTCCTAGTCTCTAGGGCAGCAGTAAACAAGCTGACTTCCTCTCACATATTTCTCCATGGCCCTCATCATGTCTCCTCTCAGCCTTCTCTTCTTCAGGCTAAACATGCCCAGCTCTTTAAGCCGCTCCTCATAGGGCATGTTCCAATGTTTTAGGTCAAGTTCAACAGTGACAAATGCAAAATACTCCACTTTGGCAGGAAAAACAAAATGCAAAGATACAGAATGGGGGACAATGCCTGGCTCGAGAGCAGGACTTGTGAAAAAGATGTTGGAGTTCTCGTGGACAACAAGTTAAACATGAGCCAGGAATGTGATGTGGCGGCAAAAGAAGCCAATGGGATTTTGGCCTGCATCAATAGGAGCCTAGTGTCTAAATCTAGGGAAGTCATGCTCTCCATGCTCTATTCTGCTTTGGTTAGACCACACCTGGTATATTGTGTCCAGTTCTGGGCACCATGATTCAAGAGAGACAAGCTGGAATGTGTCCAGAGGAGGGCGACTCAAATGATCAAGGATCTGGAGAACAAGCCCTATGAGGGGCGGCTTAAGGAGCTGGGCATGTTTAGCCTGAAGAAGAGAAGGATGAGAGGAGATATGATAGCCATGTATAAAAATGTGAGAGGAAGCCACAGGGAGGAGAGAGCAAGCTTGTTTTCTGCTTCCTTGCAGACTAGGACGCGGAACAATGGCTTCAAACTACAAGAGAGGAGATTCCATCTGAACATTAGGAAGAACTTCCTGACTGTGAGAGCCGTTCAGCAGTGGAACTCTCTGCCCCGGAGTGTGGTGGAGGCTCCTTCTTTGGAAGCTTTTAAACAGAGTCTGGATGGCCATCTGTCAGGGGTGCTTTGAATGCAATATTCCTGCTTCTTGGCAGAATGGGGTTGGACTGGATGGCCCAGGAGGTCTCTTCCAACTCTTTGATTCTTTGATTCTATGATTCATCTCAAACCTCACATCTACCGATACTATTTAATACAGAAATGAAATGACACTGTTTTTGGAAAAGATATTTAATTGTAAATAGAAAAAGTAGAGCAGAATACAGTTTTAAGGGTAATCTTTTTTTTATATAGGTAATCTAGATGATTCGTAAAGTTATACATCTTTCATAAAAAGCAGTGAAACCAAGACACAGCAAAGCACAAATCAAATGCAAGGTTTACATTGAAATAAAGGAGCTGCACAGTAGTTTGAAATATAAATGCGACGTAGCACTCGGGAATCTTTAAGGCAGTATGGTCTCAATTAATATCCAAAAAACATGCTTTTCTAAATGTTTCTCTTGGTTCTGTGTTGTCATAGTTGGCTCAGCACATGACGATATGACCAAATATACTGTGGATCAGGCATGGGGCAAACTTTGGTCTGCTAGGTGTTTTGGACTTCAACTCCCACAATTCCTAACAGCCTCAGGCCCTTTCCTTTTCCCCCTCAGCCGCTTAAGCTGACCAAAGTTTGCCCCATGCCTGATGTAGACTGTACCACTTGAGAACAAAAGTTAAGAAATCTGTTCTGACTACAATTTTTCTTGCATTCCCAAAAAAATTAAAATCTCTCGCTGACAATCTGAAGTGGTACAGTCAAAACAGTCCTCATTACTCTACATGTTTGTATTGTGCATATAGCACACCTCAGCTATCAGGTCCTTGGTAAGTGACATAAAATGCATTCGCCCACTTTGGGACTAAGTGCTTATTCTACCCGCTTCCTAGGGATGGACTAAAAGATTAGGGTCCCAATCCTAAAATAGACTTAATGGTGTATCTATCAACTGAAAACTTCACTTGAACATTTAGGGTCCTCCTCCCATTTATGAAAAGGACTTTAAATGGGTTGTTGTAAGTTTTTCYGGCTGTATGGCCATGCTCCGGAAGCATGCTCTCCTGACGTTTCGCCTGCATCTATGGCAGGCATCCTCAGAGGTTGTGAGGTTGTGACCTCGCCTCACAACCTCTGAGGATGCTTGCCATAGATGCAGGTGAAACATCAGGAGAGAATGCTTTTGGAACATGGTCATATAGCCTGAAAAACTTACAACAACCCAGTGATTCTGGCCATGAAAGCCTTCAACAGGACTTTAAATGCTTTGACGAACTAATTAACGTACTATATACTGGAAATTATAATATCCTAATGATGCATAAATCCAAACATAATTATAGCCGATGTGCTGTCGAATGGCTAATTATTATAGCCATTAGAAATAACTATGAGGGAAATAGTATCAGTCCAGTAAAATAATAATGCTACTGATTGCAAATTTCAAGTTTGGGATAACTCTGGGATTCATGATCTGTTTTTTGGGGGGCTTTTTTGGCAAGTTGTGTGAGTAACGCCACTAAAAAATATTTCAAATTATTGGATTGTTGTAGATTTTTCAAGCTATATGGCCATGTTCTAGAAGCATTCTCTCCTGATGTTTTGCCTGCATCTATGGCAAGCATCCTCAGAGGTTGTGAGGTTGTGACCTTGCCTCACAACCTCTGAGGATGCTTGCCATAGATGTCGGTGAAATGTCAGGTGAGAATGCTTCTAGAACATGGCCATATAGCCTAAAAAACCTACAGCAACCCAGTGATTCCAGCCATGAAAGCCTTCGACAATACATTTCAAATGATATTTCCAGTTGTACTACAATGTTTGTGTGTATAAACAAAAGGAATGGAAATATACCCTGTGTGGTGTGTATCAAAAGTGTCCCAGCAGCCCATTTTAAAACAATATTCTTATTAATTTCAGATGCAGGGAGAAGTGTGTGTGTGTGTGTGCGCAGAAAAAAAATGTTCTAAGTAACTTTGCAAAACTTTCCTGTATGTTATATTGCTGGTGCCTGAAAAGAGAATAATATGGATCAATCTACACTGCCATATAATGCAATTTCAGAATGCAGTTCAACTGCATTGAGCTGTATTCTGAAATGGCATTATATCGCAGCATAGATGGGGACTAAAAGTGAGAGAAGGAACTCAGATCAATATAGGTTGCTTACCTGTAATCATAGTTTCCCGAGTGGTCACCTGTGAATTCGCACATATGGTAGTTTCTGCACCTGAGCAGACAGTTTCGTAACCTTCTAGATAGATTTGAAAACGTTTCTGGCGGTTAGCCCCGCCCATTCTCCGCTTGTGAGTATAAGTAGCCAGTGGACGGGGCAACTGCCTCAGTTCTCTTCATCCGCCGCTCTGTCAGCAGCTGAGAACCTTTATTTGTGTGACTAGCTTTTTTGGACTGCCTGACTGACTAAACCGGACTGTCTATCGCTCTCTGACTCTGACCTGGTCTGTTTCCTGGACTTCTGACTTTAAGTATTCTCCTTTCAACTGTCATGGCAGCCACTTCGGCCTTTAAGTGCTATGCCTCATGCTCAGCGAGCTATTCAGACAACGTTGGCCTTTCGTTATGTTTGTTGTGCCTGGGGGACAGACAAACGAGGAAAAATCTGCTACTTCGTCTGAATGTTGCACTTTTTGAGGGGATCAATAGTTTTCAACTCTATCTAGAAGGTTCCGAAGCTGTCTGCTCAGGCACAGAAACTACCATATGTGCGATTCAGAGTTGACCACAATGGGAAAAGTTGGTTTCTGCTTAACTAACCCTTTTTCCTCCACCATCTTTCCATGCCACACAGTAGTGACTCCCATTTAACTCTGATGGGTTTACAAGCAAAGAAGTGAATTATTAACTATTTCATACAAATATCTGGATTCTTTCTTGTCAAGCAGCTTATTCTCCCCTCTCTCTTCAGCCGTCTGCATAGCTAATGCGATACAAACATTGTTGTTTTCATGCAAATGGTTCTGTGAGCACAGCTCATCCATACCTGCTTTTGGTCTATAAAGAAGTTGGTTCTCAACCTGTGGTTTCCCAGCTGTTTTGGCCTACAACTCCCAGAAATCCCAGCCAGTTTACCAACTGTTAGGATTTCTGGAAGTTGAAGGCCAATCTGGGGACCCACAAGTTGAGAACCACTGGTCTATAACTATTATATTTAGCTTATGATCTTGATTTCATAGAGGGGAACTTCTCTTTAACCCTAAACCAGTGGTTCTCAAAATGTGGATTCCCAGATGTGTTGGCCTTCAACTCCCAAAAATCCTGACAACTGGGATTTCTGGGAGATGTAGGCCAAAACATCTGGAGGACTCACAGGTTGAGAACCACTGCCCTAAATGCTGACAAAATGGGGCCCATTTTGGGTTACAGCGCAATAAAGGAGGCTGGTTGGGCACTTTGTTTGGTGCCAATTTACAGAAACATGGGCCAGAGCTGTTAGACTGGAAATATTATTTCAAGCTCCTAATGTAATTATTATCCCAAATAATTCCCATATTAAATAAATACTGGTTTTGGTTTTCTTCATCTGCCTGGTTACATTCCTCAAAGAAATGCCAATTCCAATTAAAACAAAACCAAAAAACAATCAGTTTGCCTCCCTCCCCGCTGCTATATAGCACGCATGGTCAAACTTGGACCCTCCGGGTGTTTTGGACTTCAACTCCCACAATTCCTGGCCTCAGGCCCCTTCCTTTTCCCCCTCAGCCGCTTAAGCGGCTGAGGGGGAAAAGGAAAGGGCCTGAGGCCAGGAATTGTGGGAGTTGAAGTCCAAAACACCCGGAGGGTCCAAGTTTGACCATGCCTTCTCTATACGTTTGACTTTTTTTTTCTCATAATTTTCCCTCCTCTTTCCTGAAAAATATGTAAGATGTATATAGAAATTATATAAAAAAAAACATGCAGCATATGTACAAACCGAAAAGTTTAAAAAATATCAGCTTCATATACATGTCAATCTAATCAAATATATCAGAAATTAAATATTAAAAAATTACATTTTTTTGTTCTAAAAAAAAGAGTTCAAGAGACTCTGGGCAACCACTTCATTAAAGCTGTACAAATTATTTCCACTTGGAAAAGTATTTACGCAAAAGGTTTTTGTTTTTTTTAAGTTGCTATCTTTCAGGGTTGGCTCTGACACATAATTAATTCGTTTCTGCACTGTCAGTGCAAATCAACAATGGTCACCCTTAAAACTGTTCTGTATTTCTGCAGTTTCGTACTAAAAAAAGGTCACAAAAAACATTGGCTTTTGCATGTTTGTGGATCCCTTCAAAAAGAGTAAGCAACTAATTTGGGAACGGTAAAAAAACCCCGCTATTTACAGTATTTCTTTTTAAATATTTTTGCACAAAAAATGTCTAAATTCTGAGGATCTTTTTTATGATACAAGAAATTCACCCGAACTCACGGCTTAAGTCCATAACATCTTCTCTAGTATGTAATCCTAGGTTTGCACCCACGTGAAACACAGGTCCGTCTTGTACAGCAGTTTCCTTCACTGGCTTTATTCAATTCAGCCGTTCAAACAGCTTCTTTGTTCGTCTGAAGGCGATTCATTGCCTCCAACTTCTGCCTACAAGCTTCAGCCTCTTGCTCTTTCTTCAGAAGCTGCTGCCGGTACTTCTGCGCTTCTCGATTGGCCTCATCCAGCTGTTTCTGTAGAGTTTCTCTCTCCTGTTATAATAAAGAAACATCCTGTTAAACACATTATCAAGTGTGGAAAAACTAACCCGTATATACTCGAGTATAAGCCAACCCGAATATAAGCTGAAGCACCTAATTTTACCACAAAAACTGGGAAAATGTATTGACTTGAGTATAAACCAAGGGTGGGAAATGCAGCAGTGTTGGGGTTCAACCTCCGTGTGAATCTGACCCTCAGCCTCCGTGTGAGCCTGATTCTATTATTGTATTTCCTGATGCAACTGAATAGGCTACTGAACATGTATTTTTCCCTGATGGTTTGGAAACTGTTGATTCTGAGGGCAGTGGCTGGGAAAGTGAAACTAAACATCCTGATGAGGATGTTTCAGAATCAAGCAATGATAACTCTCCAGAGGAGTTAACACCTGCCTTTTTTAATGAGGATAGAAGAAGGCAGATTTGGGAAAACAGGAGTGAATCACAGTGTCTGCGAAGGTCAAGTAGATTAAAGGAGAAGGAGGCTTCCAAGCCTGGAGGCATGTCACGAAACAGTTTCTTTACTTTAAAGTGTCTCCCCCCCTCCGGGCGGTCTTGTTAGATCAAGCATCGTTTAGACAGAGGCATTACCTTGGCTGAGTTCCCATTTCCCATGGCCTGCATTCCCAGAGACTTCTAGTTCCAAGTACGGTTAGTGAGATACTAACAGGTTCCAGGTTTTTATAGTGTTGCTTTTGGAATTTTGATTTAGTTCAGACTGCTGAGTTTTACTGTGGCTTTTTGACTTTGCATTTTTCTCTATTTTGTAACCATTTTTTCATCAATAAAAAAGGATTGTTTTTCCCACAGTCAAGTGTGGTGGATTTAATCTTATGGTCTTGTTTCCTGATCTGGGTTGCAACAAGCAGCCACTGGTAAATTTCAATATGAAAATAGATACCAATAAAATTACATTAATTGAGGCATCAGTGGGCTAAATGTTTTTGAATAGTTACATAAAACTGTACTTTAAGATAAGACTGTCCAACTCTGATTAAACCATTATTCTATCCTTCCTCAATGTAAATGTCCTATGTAGCCTTCCAATAATAATAGGGTAAAATAATAAATGCAATTTTTTAAAAAATAGAATAAAGTAATAAATGTGATAATAAATAGAGTAAAATTATAAATATAATAATATTTTTTATTTTAGTAAATTTTTATTAAAGAGTTTCTGTATTTGCATTACAGAAACCACAAAAAAGAAATATTTAAATATTTTCCCCCAAAGTCACTGCTCTTTAAATGTTGTTTTGATTTCTAATTTCTAATTTTGACAGCCACTCACATAGCTGCTGATTCAGCCCACCTGCTCTATTGTTGTCTGATTACAGAAGACCGCTTCAAGATAAAAAATACTTGAGTTCAAAGCAAGAGACATTTTCTCCATCCTATAAAACATCCCAAATTGTATGTTTTATTGAAGCCAAATTATCTGTCTGAGATGCTACCACATTACATGATGCAAGAGGCAGGAAGCAGTCCTACTGCATTAAAAATAATTGCCATGGAAATAGCTTTGTTCTGACCTCTACATACGCTCTTTTTGGGGGGGAAAAATACTCCACAAAGAAGTTAATTTCAGCCACAACATCCACCTCCATCATTATTTGGTACTATAATAAAGGAGACTGCCCATCTACTCACAGTGTTTTACTCAAATGAAACAAAAGATTAAAAACGAAGGCCCTTCCATCTGAAGGTAAAGTACCTTTAACAAACTACAATTCGAGAATATATTTATTTTATACAAACTATGGACAAACTATCTGTCACATATTTTGTATGTATTGTGTTATTGTAGTGAAAGAATTATGGCATGAAATTAGGTTTTCCCAAATTTTTGCTTGTCTGTTTACACCAAAACTTGCACTATTACTGCAGGGATAAGAATTACATTTCCAACCATCATGGCATGTGTGAAAATATACACATTAAATCTTTTAGTAAGGAACATTTAATAACACTAAAAAATTCCCAATTTGCACATTACTATAAGTCACTGATTCCCAACCTTTTTTTGACCAGGGACTAGTTGGACCAGGGACCACTCTCCAACATTAGTACCAAAAAGGTTACAAATCAGGTTTTGGTCAACTTTAGATTTGGTCTGGTTATTTGGAGTGCTGATTCATTAAATTGCATTTAATAGACCACATCAGCTTTAGTTTCTGATACAGAACATATGTCATCCAGTAGTCAACATCTGCTCGCCCACAGAAAACCTTATTTAATGTTGTGGCACTATAAGAGGGTTTTGCACAACCAGTCGCTCTCATTGCAACGGTGTGGCCACGGACCATATTTTATTTCTTGCAGACCACTGGTGACCCATGGACCACAGGTTAGGAACCACCGCTATAAGTGAATAAACATTTAGTTTAGAAAATCTGAATATAAAATCTCAGCCAAGAGATTCCTTACTTCTATTTCTGCTGAATCCACGCGGTTTTCAATTATCTCAATACACTGCCTCTTCATTGGCGGCTCTTCGCTGATGACTGTTTCTTCAGCAATGTCTGTTGCTGGTACTGTAAGGACTTGGAAGTAAAATAGGTTTGCATCAAACATATGAAAACTGAAAGGCTGCATTTGAATATTGTGATAGACCTTGGTTTATTGCAAAGTCTGGAATCCCCACCCTTTTCCACCCCTCATCAGGGAATATCAATGTTGGGAGGAAATGGAAATTTGGGATTTGGAAGAGGAGAGAGGACAAATATTGATGTGTTTTATTGTACCATCTCCTTCTCCAAGATCCATTAAGAATTAAAGTTACAGGAGTCCCATCCCAGATCCAACTGTACCTCCGGTCCTTTCTACATGGCTATATAAAATAGAGGTTATCTGTTTTGAACTAGACTATATGGCAGTGTAGACTCAGGGTCCTTCCACACAGGCCCTATATCCCAGGATCTGATTCCAGGTTTTCTGCCTTAAACTGGATTATGAGTCCATACTGTCAGATTATCTGGGATAAACAGAAAACCTGGGATCAGATCCTGGGATATAGGGCCTGTCTAGAAGAGTCCTTAGATACTCCAGTTTAAAGCAGATAATGTGGATTATCTGTTTTGATAATCTGGATTTTATGGCAGTGTAGAAAGGACCTCGTTTTCCAGCACAGTTGCAAGAAAAGGAGCTCTGGCTTTCACTGTCAATTAACCAAATCTTACACGTCTGTCTCCAACAATGGTTAATCTCAACTGCAATCTGTGAGACAAGTCAATTCACAGTTCATTGAATCTGTTTTGCATACAGTATTGTTAAGATTAAGAAAACTGTTTTATCAGGTTCTGATGTGGTTTATAAAAATAAGGGCCAAACCTCTCCCATAACTGCACCAAAGGGGCAAACTTTTAAGAATGCTGATTAGTTTAAATTGATTAGATGATATTTTTCATTTTTCTCCCTTTCAACTGAAGCCATTTTCAAAAGAAAACAGTGAAAGTGATATCACTCAAAAACCCCTAATCCATCTCAAAAAAGCATCTCAGGCRCCTTTTACATTGCAATATAATCCAGATTGTCAAATCAGATAATCCGCATTAGCTGCTCTGAACTGAATTTACCASTCTACACTGCCATATAATCCAGTTCAAAACAGATAATCTGGATTTTCTATGGCAGTGTAGAAAAGACCTCAGTTGAGACTCGACAGAATTAGCAATTGCACAATAGGTAAAACAAATGACAAAAAATACATTGGGCTGTTGTAGGTTTTTTCGGGCTATATGGCCATGTTCTAGAGGCATTCTCTCCTGACGTTTTGCCTGGATCTATGGCAAGAATCCTCAGAGGTAGTGAGGATGCTTGCCATAGATGCAGGCGAAACGTCAGGAGAGAATGCCTCTAGAATATGGCCATATAGCCTGAAAAAAACCTACAACAGCCCAGTGATTCCAGCCATGAAAGCCTTCGACAAAAAATACATTAMWACCTACTACAGATGAACAGGAGGGGGGAGCGCAAAACAATGTTATTTCTGGAGAAATTTATTTCATTATCACTGAAAGATTGCTACAGTGGCCTGCCCCTGCTAGGTACCTGCCAAGCTTCCAAATGTGGGTTTGCCTAGAGCAAATGAGAACCTGCCATGAGTAGACAGGTTCATACATAGAACAAAGCAGGCATGGGAGCACATGGCCAGGGGACATGCAGTTCCACAGCCCTGTTCCCTTTCTTCTGGCTACAGTTTCACCTCTATGAGGTCAAGTCGCTGCCTGTACATGTTGAAAACATGTTGGGAGCTATAACTGTTAACTTTCTTAACAAGCATACATTCCTGGACAGGTTTAGAATGGGGAGCATCCACAGTGAAGGAACAGGGCAAGGAAGATACACTTGTGAGCACTTCTCTTCCCGTGATTTTGATGATCTTTCCGACCAATGCATTTCAGTGTTGTATTCCAGGGCAGGAGCACCCCTGGACTTAACCACCACACACTAGTCCAGTATAAATCAGCAAAGAAATTTATTGAAGAAGATAAAAAAGGCAGAGCAGCAAAATAATAAAAACATCTAAGTCAAAAATATGAAATAGTCTGTAAAATCCATAATACAAAAGTTGAATCAAAAACTAGGAACACAAAAGAATCAGGATACAAAAGATAACATGAAATCCAAAATATAGCCTCAAGAAGGAACCTTTAAACTTGAAAGCATAAAACTTGAATAGTTTCTTTTTTTTTTTTTTTTTTGGTCATGTCAGGAGCGACTTGAGAAACTGCAAGTCACTTCTGTTGTGAGAGAATTGGCCGTCTACAAGGACGTTGCCTAGGGGACGCCCAGATGATTTGATGTTTTTATCATCCTTGTGGGAGGCTTCTCTCATGTCCCCGTATGAGGAGCTGGAGCTGATAGAGGGAGCTCATCCGCCTCTCCCCGGATTCGAACCTGCGACCTGCCAGTCTTCAGTCCTGCCGGCACAGGGGTTTAACCCACTGCGCCACCGGGGGCTCCTACTTGAATAGCTGAAGACATGAAACTACAATTCCCTTGATGAGCTAAGCTAGAACTCAATTCAAGATACTGTTTAAAAATCAATGTTGACCAGACTGCTGAAAAATCCTTTTCGTGTTTCTAATAAAGCCATGAAATCATTCCATTTACCCTTGCAAACAGGTAACGGCTTTTTTTCTAACAAGCGCATTGACTTTTGGAGAGTCTGAGAATCAGCTTGGAATTTACGAAAGCTGTGCCTCCTATCTTTTGGTTCATTAGCCTCTCCACCTAGCAATTCATCTCCTGTACTCGCTTCCCTAGAGAAAGACTTCTCTGGGCCCCTCTCTGGAATGTGGCCTTCACTAATTACAGGAGACACAGAAGACTCAATTTCAGGACTTAAAATCTCATGCTGGCTCACAGGCTCAACAGGTCCAGAAATCCCATCATCCACTTCTACTTCAATCATTGGCTGAATTACAACATTCAGCTGCAGGTCACAGATCTCGACTCCATTAACCCGTATCGTATAATCCAACTTTCATTATTTAGACTTTTACAAATCACCATTCAGAGATGACAGCCTCAAAGAAGGGATTCCAGGATGGTTTGAACTTAATTATTATCTCGGATCAATTGTAAATGACAACAAGGTGATGATCCTGAGAAAACAGGAGTGATCCATACATCCCACTTCTATCTCTGATTCATTTCTTGAATATATAAAGAAAAATGCTAGACTTTTAACAGCCAAAAGACTCTAGTTTAGTTAACCCAGGGTTTTATGTATTCAACTTGCAACTGTATGGTGCGGATTTAAGATAAAGATTTTAAGTGTTATATACTTGCTTGTTGGACTCTTTTTTAACCCAAACCCACCTGTATTCTTCTTTTCCATAATCCCCCCATAGCAACACAAGGCATTTCTGGACTACACTGAATTGATTGTCCAGAGACACACCAAATATTTATATGCATTGGGTTTTCTTTCCCCTCTTGTTTCCAACTCACCTTGCTGCCCATCTGGCATGGTCACAATAATGGGCTGACCCATTCCGCTGGTTGGAATTGAATGGAGATTTCCAAGCTGAATGCCATCCGTTACAATGGTAATCACCTGCTGACCTCCAGAACTCACAACCTGCTGAATTGCACCATCCACGGATTCTGCAGTCACTACTTCCTCCGTAGCCACAACTATTGAATGAATTAATTAATCAATAAATAAACACGAGGTACAATAAATGCACAATGGAGAACCTTCTTATAGTAACACCAGAGGCACCCCAAGTGGTCAGCTACTGGTCAAAGGACATTTAATAGAATGCCAAGTTTTTAAACTTTGTGTTTTCTGAAATACATCACAATTGCACCCTTGGTTCACTCCTGACATGATAAATAAATAACAAATAACTTTGTTGATCAACTAGGTTGCTTTTAGAAATTACCAGTGAGATTTAAATGCAATGTAGCAACAAAGCACTCAATTCCTCCATAAATATTGGCATCCTGCAGCCATCAAGCACAATCAGTTGTCGTGCCCTGTTTTGAGGTTTTACTCCCCCTACAGATATTTTTTTGGACAACTGCAAACTGTGAAGCCCAATAATATCTCAGTCATTTGCACAGATGCTGTCATTTTGGCTACATAAACCACTTGGATAATGCTTAAATGCTGTCAATAGAAGGAACAGTGTATCACACACTTTCAGAAATTTGGAGGCTACAGACAATGCCGTTGCTGTTGCTTGTTTTTGGTCAAACAATATTTAGCCACTTGTGCTCCTTCAATTTTTATCTGTTTTATACGAATTTATGCAATGCTTTTGATATGAAATAAATAAATAAGAAATTATATTGTTTGCCTAAAGCCAGACTGTGACAGATCTAGAAAATCAGTTTCTTTCAAGAACACCAAGAAAATTGACCTTCCTACATATATTAAACACTGTACAACACTTATGGAGCTTCTTGCAAATGAAAATAGGGATAGTACACTAGAGACAGGGAATAAATGTATTATTATTATTTTACTGACACAAAAACACAGTATGTCACAGCAAATGAGATATATATGCTGGATTTTTGTTTATTATTATTATTATATTATTATTATTATTATTATTATTATTATTATTTCATCATACAAAAGGCATAATGTAATTTTGAATCCTCTGGATTCTACAACCATAATGTTTTAAAGTCCTCATTTATATCGGAGAACTTCCAGTCTTCCAATTCAATGCTCCTTGCTCTGGTATATACATTTTGGAATATCATTTCACTTGATTTTTAGATTTTTAGAAAAAACTGATACTGTAGTGTTTGGAAGGGCAACACTATTTAGGCATATTTATTTTTATTGTTGATATGTTTACAAAGCAGGGAAAGTTGGAGTTTTTACCCCATTTCTATAAATCTTGTTTTATTTCATTCCGGTTCTTTACAACTGTCTTGGAACAAACTTGAATTTTTGTTATAGGATGCTATGTCTAAATATGTCATTTTGTCTTCTAGTCAGAAATCAGGTATCTCTACCATTTTAGAAGCTTCCTTAGGAGGCCCCATCCATACTGTTTCTTTTACATGTCAACAGGAAAAAAGTCAAAATGGTAAGATACCTTCTATATTTACATTCCAGCAAGATTGCATTCAAATTAAGGGACTTTGATGTTTATTGAAAACAGGATGGCCACCAGAAGGCTTTCTTGCTAAAACTATAGTGTATGATTTATGTCAGACATCAGACAGAACCCAGGAGCTTTCATCTTTTCCATTAATTACATTCCTATTTTGATTCAATCACGGATTCCTTTTTGAGCATTTCTGACATTATTATGAGAATTTTTTTAGAATTGTGAAGAAAAGGCACAAATTGTGCCCTATGAGATGCATACAAGAATACTAAAGCTCTTTGTTTTAAAACTGCATCCACCTGCCCCACCACAGAGAAGTGGGATTACATGAAGGGGTACATTTTATTTCTTTCCTTCAAGAAACAATGTGAATTCATTTCTAATAGGGAAATAATGTATTTTTTTCTCACCTGGTGTTTCTGATGAGTTGGACAGTGGAGCTGAAGCTTCTGCTAAGGCTGCCAAGGTTGCAAGAACTGAAGTTGAGGAATTACCAAACTGGACAGCAGACATTCCAGTGTCATCTACAAAAATAATATACAAAGTGATCATCATGTTCTTTCCAAATCCAGAACATGGCATGTGCTTCAACAGAATTCCCATTTGCATATACCGTATATACTTGGGTATAAGTCGACCTGAATGTAAGCCGAGGTGCCTAATTTTACCACAAAAAACTGGGAAAGCGTATTGACTCGAGTATAGGCCGAGGGTGGGAAATTCAGCAGCTACTGGTAAAGTTCAAAATAAATAGATACCAATAAAATACACTAAATGAGGCATCTGTAATTTAAATGTTTTTGAATATTTACATAACACTGTAATTTAAGATAAGATTGTCCAACTCTGATTAAACCATTATTCTAAGCTTCTTCAATGTATATGTGTTTACGTATCCTTCCAATAATAATAGAGTAAAATAATAAATGTAATAATAATAATAGAGTAAAATAATGTCAATCTAATAATAATGATAGAGTAAAATAATAAATGTAATAACAAAATAAAAATGTAAATATAATATGTAATAATAATAGAATAAAATAATAAATATAATAATAAAGTAAAATAATAAAAATAATAAAAATAATAACTGAGTAAAATAATAAATATTATTGCAATGAGTCGCCCTTGGGCTGAGAATTGCGGTATATAAGCGTAGTAAATAAATAAATAAATAAAAATAATAACTGAGTAAAATGATAAATAACTTTGACTCGAGTATAAGCTAAGGCGGTCTTTTTGAGCCTTAAAAAAGGGCTGAAAAACCCAACTTACACTTGAGTATATACGGTATCTTGCCCACAATGGGTATAGTACAGACAAAATGGTAAAATGAATGGGAAAATGCTAACAGTGATACCTTCAGTGACATTCCCTGCTTTACTGAAAGGAATCACTATCCTCAAATCAAAACTCTGGTTCCAAAACCAAACTTTAACTCTCAAATTCTTTCCCAAAGTCTGAGTTTCTCTTTCAAAAAGGTGAAGTCTAGGAAACAATAATAAAATAGATTTCTGTTGAAGTAATAGCTTGCTGGCACAGGGTGCTGCCAGAGTCTTAAACAATTCTCTGTTATCCTCACTGCTATTCACATATACAAATGTTTGGTGCTGCTCTTCGACTCTTGTATTTACGGTACATTGTTTCTGTTTTTAAAGGTTGCATTTTGATGCCCCAACATGTGTTTTATTTTCCTTTTGTTGGCTGTTTGTTTTGACAAAGGTTATTAACCAAAATTAAAACATTGTATTGTAAGGATAGAATAAATGATACACATGATTTGTTAACAGCTTTGCTGAACTGGGTGTGCCACTTATTGACAAACTCATGTACATTCAAATACTTGCTACATATGAAGCATTTTCAGAAGATACCAGACCTGTTAGATTCACCACCCCACCAGGTCCAATGATGAACTGCGGTGTCGCTGCATGTATCGTCACAGTGTCAGGACTTTCTGGGTTTGTGTTGATTTGATTCTGCATTGCAATCTATGTCCAAGAAAAAGAAAGAAAGAAAGAAAGAAAGAAAGAAAGAAAGAAAGAAAGAAAGAAAGAAAGAAAGAAAGAAAGAGCTGAAAGACTCAACAAGTCACGAGGCTAAAGACAAAGACCCACCCAGAGGAAAAGTGTTTTTACCATACATCAAGGGAACAACTGACCACATAGGGAAGCTGATGAAAAAACAAACTATCTACAGATCTGCTAAGAAAATCCAACAAACGCTACTTTCAGCAAGGACAAGAGGGATCCTCTCACCTCTGCGGGAGCCTACTGTATACCATGTAGCTGTGGAAAAGTCTACACAGAGACCACCAAACGCTGCCTTGCTCAAACACGAATCAAGGAACATGAAAGGCACTGAAGACTAATTCAACCAGAGAAGTCAGCCATAGCAGAGCACCTGATGAACCAACCTGGACACAGCATATTATTTGAGAACAGAGAAAAGCTGGACGACTCTTAACAACTACCATGTCAGACTACACACGAAAAACCACTGAAATCCACAGACATGTGAAAACTTCAACACAAAGGAGGAAAGCATGAAAGTTAATAAAATCTGGCTACCAGTATTTTAAAAAACTCTAAAATTGAGACAGTAAATAAGAAACAACAATAAAAAAACAGGGAAATTCCAGACAAAAATCACTCAGGGCCAGCTAACACAACAAAGAATCCCACCAAGCAGCAACCAGCCATGCTTTCAATCTACAAGATCATTCAATGCTAATCAAGGTGGCCAACTGCAACATTCACACTTGCCTTTTTCCCACCCTGGACATTTCACAGATATATAAACCTCACTTGCTTCGTTTCCAACAAACCTCACAACCTCTGAGGATGCCTGCCATAGATGTGAGTGAAACATCAGGAGAGAATGCTTCTGGAACACAGCCAGACAGCCCAGAAAACTCACAGCAATCCAGTGATTCTGGCCACGAAAGCCTTTGACAACACATCGAAAGAAAGAAAACTACAGTGGTGCATTTGTATGTACACAAGGGCACGTTATATTAAGCTAGAATTGTATCAGTATGGTTCACATTCAGAAGTGAGACTGATACTTAATAGAAGGAATATTTAAGGGACTGAGAGAGTGGTGAGATGAAACCATATGCACCTAGTAAGGGCCAGGTAGTTCAGAACACCAACAAAGAAAGATGACCTGAAAGCACACTGGTCATCAGTTAAGCTCTCTCTCTGTCTCTGAGATTTTCATCCTTGGTTATTATAATATTTAAAAAAAACCAAGCAAGCAAAGTTTAACCGTATCCGCATCACACACACACACACACAGGTCAAGGTAAAATCCACAATTCTGGGCCAAAAGCCTGCCCTTGGCATATATATATATGAGGTTGGCTTATATAGGACTATATATGGTAATACATAGCACTGTCAGAAAAGTGACGGTATGGAGAACTAAGAACAGATTTAAGGAGGCAAATTCTGAGTTACCTGTAGTATTTCTGCTAGGTCTTCATATCCATTGTCTATCGCAATGTCGAAAGCTGTTTTGCAAAATTTACTCTGCGTATGGACGTCTGCTCCATACTTTATTAAGAGTTCCACTACTTCTTGGTGATTGTGTTCTGTAGCCCAATGGAGAGCAGTCATCTTCAGCATGTCCTTTGCATTTACATCAGCACCGTGCTAGAATTAAAACAACAACAACAAAACAATTTGATGACATTTATGTCAGGAGTCAATAAGCGAAAAACATCAGTGTAAGAGTTACTTCTGTTTCTGTTATCTTATAGCTGGCATTTCATGAATCATATAATCAAGTGAAGATTTCACTAAACAATCTTGCAGAAGGAAAGGCAACTTAAGGTTTTATTTCCTTCTTCAGCCATAACAATATTATTTGTTGTTGTTGTTCATTCGTTCAGTCGTTTCCGACTCTTTATGACTTCATGGACCAGTCCACGCCAGAGCTTCCTGTCGGTCGTCACCACCCCCAGCTCCTTCAAGGCCAATCCAGTCACTTCAAGGATGCCATCCATCCATCTTGCCCTTGGTCGGCCCCTCTTCCTTTTTCCTTCCATTTTCCCCAGCATCATTGTCTTCTCTAAGTTTTCCTTTCTTCTCATGATGTGGCCAAAGTACTTCATCTTGGCCTCTACTATTCTTCCCTTCAATGAGCAGTCAGGCTTTATTTCTTGAAATATGGACTGGTTAGATCTTCTCGCTGTCCAAGGCATTCTCAGAACTTTCCTCCAGCACCACAGTTCAAAACAATATTATAAACATAGCAAAAACAACACAAAAACAGGGGTTCTGGGAGACAGGGTCATCAACTAGAATAATAAGGAAGTGCTCCTGTAGCAGAGCAGATATTATGTTTCTGAGCAATGCACTGATTCAGAGTTTAAGAGACATCTTTCCAAGATTTCATCACAGCTTTCAACAAAAGCCTGCTATAAGAAGGAAGGCCAGAAAAGCTGCAGCCTTCTGGATGCAAGGGCATGTTTAAAAGAACATGGAAAGGAGCATGCCCATTGGTTTACTACAGGAAAGCTCGAATAGGAAGTTTCTGTGGCAGCAAAGGCATCATTCTTTGCTGTCAATATTGTATCTGCAATGGTGTCATCCAGTGACTAGCTCTTAACAAAGGATCTAGAAAGTTAGAGTCAGTTGTTAAACTAAAAAAAATGATGGTGCAGCCTTAACTGAAAAAAATTCTCAAGGAACTAAAATACACTAGATAAATACTAGCCATTTTGTTTTAATCTCAGCGTGGTAGTCTCAGAACTAGGAGAGAGATGGAATGTAAATAATATAAAATGCTATGCATTTCCATTTAGTACTATGCCAATGTGCAAGCATCTTATAGTTCAACTTCTGTGCAAAACCAAGAATTTGTTACCTTGAGTAAGACTTCAACTATGCATGCATGGCCTTCAGAAGCTGCCATATGCAATGGAGTCCTGTCCACTTTGGTTCTGGCATCTCGACTTACTCCTGCTCTAAGTAACACTTCAGTGGTGGAGTAGTGCCCATACTGTGCTGCTAGATGAAGTGGAGATGTTCCCAACTGTAACATATGAAGCAAGCAGTTAGCAAACAAACAGAAATAATAGAAGGCCTTTCTTCCAACTTTAGCTACCTTCATATAAACAATATTTGTATGTTAACTAAGGGCCTTTCCACGCAGCCATATAATCCAGAATATCAAGGCAGATAATCCACAGTATCTGCTTTGAACTGGGTTAACTGAGTCCACACTGCCATATAATCCAGTTCAAAGCAGATAATGTGGGATTTTATACAGCTGTGTGGAAGGGGCCATATTCTTCATAATAGTGCCATGTTTACTTTGAAGTGGCATTGAATAACAAAAAGGAAAATGAAAAAGAACATGGTTTAAGGTAGAATTTTCTACAAATTCTTATGATATTCTAGTGCAAAAGTTTTCCAGTTTTCCACATTTTGGATTTTGTAATATTGGATTTTTTTTGTGTCAGTAGTGACTTGAGAAACTGCAAGTCACTTCTGGTGTGAGAGAATTGTCTGTCTGCAAGGACGATGCCCAAAGGAAACCTGGGTGGAATATTGGTAATTGGAATAGAGGCCATATAACTGATATAACTTCCTTTAGCACAGCGGGTTAATCACCAGCTGCAGTAAATCTTGCCAACTGAAAGGTTGACAGTTCAAAGCTTGGGTCAGGGTGAGATCCTGACCTTCAGCCCAGCTCCCTGTCCACCTAGCAGGTCGAAAATAGTTATGTGAATAAATAGGTACCACATTAAAAAGCTGGGAGGTATTTAGGCACCGTGATTCTACCAAAAAAGGATGAAGTTTACAAAAAAGCTCTTCGGCAGGGAAGATGTATCAACAGTACCCACTCCCTGTAGCTGGAACTGAGCACAGCATTTAATATGCCGAAAGATGGGAAAAGCCTATATATATACCTCTATTTATTTTATCTGTCTTGTCATTGTATAATCGGCATTGAATGTTTGCCGTATATGTGTTCTGTGTTCTGCCCTGAGTCCCCTTCAGGGTGAGAGGGGCAGAACATAAATACTGTAAATAAATAAATAAGTTTCAATTTAAACGAAATAGGAAGATTATATCTTCTAATTATTTTTGTGTTTTTTTGTGTTGGATGAATTGCACAGGTTTTTAAAATGAGGATCTAGGACAGACTTTAACATCTAATTAAATGTATCCTTGTGCTCAGATAATACAGCTTTCATTACCACAAAGTTGAAATTGCACATGCCATCACAGATATTTACACAGATTTATACAAAGTCAGAACTCCAAGGAACATTGCCTTATTTTGTGTTATCTTTTCCACCCCTGACTGCTTGCCACAAAGCACAGAATGGCAACATCAAGTATCTTCAGGGGTTTTACCACAAGCCATTGCTCAGTCCCCAAGCTAAGCTGAGGGGATGCTAGACTGAGGCCAGTGTCTTATTAAATCTTAGAGCCAAATAGGAAATTAAGCAGAATCTTTTCTTGCCGGAAAGCTTCCATTCATACACTATATATGCCATTATTGGGTTGTTGTAGGTTTTTTCGGGCTATATGTCCATGTTCTAGAGGCATTCTCTCCTGACGTTTCGCCTGCATCTATGGCTAGCATCTTCAGAGGTAGTGAGGTCAGGAGAGAAACGTCAGGAAAGAATGCCTCTAGAACATGGCCATATAGCTCAAAAAAACCTACAACAACCCAGTGATTCCGGCCATGAAAGCCTTCGATAACACATATGCCATTATTAATAATGTGAGTCTCTAAGACAAGCATTGAAAAGTGAATAGTGCTGGCACAAAATCAAGGATATGATTTCATTTAGAAAGTGTTTCCATTACCCAGTCTGTAGTAAAAGGTGCACCATTGGCCATCAAAATGCGAACTTCGTCATCTTGTCCTGCTCGTGCAGCCTCTAACAGCTTCTTTCCCAAATCTACCAGGGACATCTAGTAAAATATTTTAGATTGAAAAATTAGGCTTGCATCAGTTCTGGAAAGAGTGCTATCGATCTACTGCCAACTTTAAAGCAACTTTTTTGAAAAACAAAACATATTAGTAATATGGGACTTTGGACAACATAAGTCTAATTTGCCAAGAAGTATGCTTAAGGCCAGCCACTGATGAAAGTCCTCTCTCACATCTCAAAAAGTACGTTTCCCAAAGATCTCATGGTTCAAGGAATTTTGTGTGGGAGACTACGGCACAAAATCAAGTATGAACACATACTATATAGGGCACTATACGTCACAAACAGCAACCTGGTCTGTACACATAAACAGCCATTTCCATGGAGTTGTTGTCAAGCGAAAGCAGTTTTTCTGACTGTTGCTCTAAAGATAGCCCTAAATAAAGTAGATAAACAGCATCTAATTAAAGCATTGTCATGGTGGCCTAATAGCCTTAAACCACCAGATCTGGCCTTATATTTGGCATTACTCAGAGGTGGTTTTGCCAGTTCCTTTCTTTGAAATATGTGACTTCGTTGTTGGCCTCCCATCCAAGCATTAACCAGTGGTGATCTTGCCTAACTTCCAAGATCAGATTGAATCTGGTGCCTTAGGGTATATAGGCTACCTAGTGAAGAACTACTCTCCTGAATTATCCTATAGCAATTCAGGTATTGATACTGTTGTAACCCAATTTTGGAATTTTTATTTTTCTTGTGATGACTACAAAATTTAATGTTGAATTATTTATTTCTGTTTTGTTTGTGTAACACAGGGTTTCACAACCTAGGGGTTGGGACCCCTGGGAGGGTTGCGAGGGGGTTTCAGAGGGGTCGCCAGTGACCATTTCTGATTGTCTTAGGAACCTCTTTGGCAGAGAAGGATGAAGATCTCTCTGCCTATCCTGTTTCCTTTTTGGAAACAGAAGGCGAATCCTCCCACCAAAAGCCCTCTTCCACTGTGATCGGCTAGCCTCTCAGCCAAGAGGAGGGCTGAGTCTCCAAGCAGGGAGGGGAGAGCAGGCGTGCTTGGTGCATGGCAGTGTGGTGCACATGTATGGGTGAGGGAAAGTGTGCAAGACTGGAGGGAGGCCCATACCAGCAAGTCCCTTCAAGGGATGGGGGTTCTGTGCGGGAAGCTTGGTCCAATTCTACCATTGGTAGTGTTCAGAATGCCCTTTGATTGTAGGTGAACTATAAACCCCAGCAACTACAACTTCCAAATGTCAAAGTCTATTTTCCCCAAACCCCACTAGTGTTCACATTTGGGTATATTGAGTGTTCATGCCATGCTTGGTCCAGATTCATCATTGTTTGAGTCCACAGTGCTCTCTGGATGTAAGTGAACTACAACTCCAAAACTCAAGGTCAATGCCCACCAAACCCTTCCAGTATTTTCTGTTGGTCATGGGAGTTCTCTGTGCCAAGTCTGGTTCAATCCCATTGTTGGTGAAGTTCAGAATACTCTTTGATTGTAGGTTAACTATAAACCCCAGTAACTACAACTCCCAAATTATAAAATGAATCCCCCCCATGCCACCAGTATTCAAATGTGGGCATACTGGGTATTTGTGCCAAATTTGGTCCAGTGAAAGAAAATACATCATATCTGATATATACAATACGATTCATAAAAGTAGCAAAATTACAAGTCATGAAGCAGCAACGACAATGTTATGGTTGGGGGTCACTACAACATGAGGGGTCACAACATTGGGAAGGTTGGGGAACACTGGTGTAAGATATATAACAACACTCTGTTATGTTTGGCATTTTTTTTTCCAAACTGGCCATAATCTTGATCAGAATAGGGTTTCATGCCTTTCACCTAAAGCACTTTAATCTACAAGTTGTGTTTATATATTTTTATGGTCATTTAATTTGATAAGCATCATGATTGTGTATTGTATTCATGGTTCTTAGGGGAACAAAAGAAAAAATGTTTTCCATACAGTACTTTGTCTCTGAAGAGATTATATAGAACTGCAAGTTCTGAATATTTTCTTAAAACTTGCTGCCCTTAGCATATTTCATACACATTACCTAGTTTTAAAATGAAGACAAAAAAACTGAACAGGGTTCTTATCTACTAGAGGTTAACTATCACTTAGCCAAAGACTTTAGACCAAATGGGTTTTGAATGTCTGGTTTTTTTTAGATTTTAGACTATCTGTATTCGCATATACCTACAAAATGAGCTATCTTGAAAATGGCGCCCAATTCTAAACACAAAATTCATTTTTATTTCTTAACATAGGCTTAGAGTAATTTCATACAATATTTTAATACATTTATTCATGAAACTAAGCTTGTGTACGCTGAAGCTTCAGAAATCAAAGATGCTACTATTTTAGCCAGTTTTGACTGCTTTTTGGCTAAACTAAATCTGACAAAAGGAAAGTATGTCACCTGTAACGAGAAGAGCACAGTCCAGTTCTTGGAAATTAAGGAATAAATCCAACTCTTAGTCCCAACCAAGGTAGATCCACCAAATCGATTGGTTCCCCTGATGTATGAGAAGAACACTTTTCCTCTAGATTGATCTTTGCCTTTACTTTCATGGCTTGTTCTTGGTCTTGCAGCTCTTCTGATATCTGCTGTGGAATACTATTCTAGACCACTGGACATTCCACAGATATATTTACACTCCACTTGCTTCATTACCAACAGAACCTCCGAAGATGCTATTAGCCATAGATGCAGATGAAACATTAAGAGAATGCTACTGGAACATGGCCATGCAAGCCAAAAAAACTCACAGCAACCTAACAACACACATTATTCCAATGCCCCCTTCCCATCCCTTCAAATGAAGCCTCTCCTGCTCAGAAACAAAATTAATTTCAACAAGGACAAATGTAAGATACTACACTTAGACAGAAAAAATGAAATGAAAAGATACAGAATGGGTGACGCCTGGCTTGCCAACACTAACTATGAAAAAGGTATTGGAATCTTTGTGGACAACAAGTTGAACATGAGCCAATATTGTGATGCAGCACCTTAAAAATCCAATGGGATTTTGGGCTGCATCCAAGAGTCTTGTGCCTAGATCATGGGAGGTCATGGTGCCTTTGTATTCTGCTTTGGACAGACCTCACTTGGAATAACCCTGTGTCCAATTCTGGACCCCACACTTCAGAAAAGATATTGACTCTAAGCTGGAAACTGTCAAGAGGAGGGCGACTAAAATGATCAAAGGTCTGGAGACCATGCCCTATGAGGAGTGTCTTAAAGAACTGGGAATGTTTAGCCTGCAGTAGAGAATGTTGAGATGATATATTACAGCATAAATATGTGAAAGGGCATCATAACGAAGAACAGGGTTGTTTTCTGCGGCCCTGGAAACTAGGGGCCCTTTCACACAGCCATATAACCCAGGGCCCTTGCAGGCAGACCCTATATCCCAGGATCTGATCCCAAGTTTTCTGTTTATCCCAAATTATCTGGCAGTGGGGAGTCATATAATCTGGGGCCCCTTCTACACAGAATAATATCCCATATTTTCTGCTTTGAATAGGAATATATGGTAATGTGAACTCAGATAACCCAGTTCAAAGCAGATATTGTGGGTTATTCTGCCTTGATATTCTGGGTTAGAAGGCTGTGTACATCGGCCTTTGGATGTACATTGGCCTTTGGATGACAATCCCACATTATCTGAGTGTAGACTCAAGATAACTCTGTTCAAAGCAGATATTCTGGGATATAGGTCTCTGCAGAAGGGCCTTAAGTCAAAACTGCCATATATTTCAATTCAAAGCAGATCTGAGATTTGTTGCTATGAGTTTTCCAGACTCTCTGGCCATGTTCCAGAAGCATTATCACTGGATGTTTCACCCACATCTATGGCAGGCATCCTCAGAGATTGTGAGGTATATTGGAAACTAAGCAAGGGGGGTTATATAATGTGGGATTTTATTCAGCTGTGTGGAAAGGGCCCAGGGCAGAAAAGACAATAAAGATCTGTGTGTTGTCAAAGGCTTTCATGGTTGGAATCACTGGGTTGCTGTGTGTTTTCCGGGCTGTATGGCCAAGTTCTAGAAGCATTCCCTCCTGATGTTTCACGCACATCTATGGCAGGCATCCTCAGAGGTTGTGAGGTTATCTGAGTCCACACTGCTACATATTCCAAAGCAGATAATGTGGGGCTTTATTCAGCTGTGTAGAAGGGGCCTAGGATACAATGGAGCCATGGGTTCAAATGACAGGAGATTCCAATTTGAATCTTAGAAAGCACTTCCTGACTGTAAGAAGAGCTGTACAGCAGTGGAACTCCCTGCCTTGGAATGTGGAGGAAGATGCTTCCTTGGAGGCTTGGCAAGAGGCTGGATGGCCATCTCTCAGGGGGGCTTTGGTTGTGCATTTCCTGCTGCCCTGAAGACTAGGGTGCAGAACAACAGCTGCAAACTACAGGAAAGGAGATTCGACCTGAACATTAGGAAGAACTTCCTCACTGTGAGGAGAGAGCTGTTCAGCAGTGGAACTCTCTGCCCTAGAATGTTTTGGAGGCTTTGAAACAAGAGGCTAGATGGCCATCTGTCTGGGGGGTTTTGGTTGTGATTTCCTTGCTTCTTGGCAGAATGGGGTTGGAGTGGATGGCCCATGGCGGAAGGGCCCTGGGCTATATGGCTGTGTGGAAGGGCCCTGAGTCCACACTGTCACATATTCCAGTTCAAAGCAGATAATGTGGGGCTTTATTCAGCTGTGTGGAAGGGGCCTAGTTGTCAATGGAGCCATGGGTTCAAATGACAGGAGATTCCAATTTGAACCTTAGGAAAAACTTTCTGGCTGTGGGCCCTTTCACACAGACCTATATTGCAGAATATCAGGACAGAAAATCCCACATTATCTGAGTGTAGACTCAGATAACACAGTTCAAAGCAGATATTGTGAGATTTTCTGCCTTGATATTCTGGGATATAGGGCTTTGTGGAAGGGCCCTGGAAGAAGAGCTGTTCAGCAGTGGAACTCTCTGCCTTAGAGTGTGGAGGAAACTGCTTCTTTGGAGGTTTGGCAACAGAGGCTGGATGTCCATCTCTCAGGGGGGCTTTGGTTGTGCTTTTCCTGCTGTCTTGAAGAATAGGGCACAGAACAACGGCTGCAAACTACAGGAAAAGAGAACTTCTCTGCTCTAGAATGTGGTGTGGGCTCCTTCTTTGGAGGCTTTGAAACTGCGGCTGGGTGACCATCTGTCTGGGGGGCTTTGGTTGTGATTTCCTTGCTTCTTGGCAGAATGGGGTTGGAGTGGATGGCCCATGATGGAAGGGCCCTGGGTTATATGGCTGCGTCCTTGGGAGGCTTGGAAACAAAAAGCAGAGGATGAAAAGAGATTCCACCTGAAAATTAGGAAGAACTTCCTCACTGTGAGGAGAGGAGACCTGTTCAGCAGTGGAACTCCCTGCCTTGGAGTGTGGAGGAAGCTGCTTCCTTGGAGGCTTGGAAACAAACTACAGGAAAGGAGATTCCACCTGAACATTAGGAAGAACTTCCTCACTGTGAGGAGAGGAGAGGTGTTCAACAGTGGAACTCTCTGCCCTAGACTGTGGTGGAGGCTCCTTCTTTGGTGGTTTTGAAACTGAGGCTGGGTGGCCATCTGCCTGGGGGGCTTTGGTTGTGATTTCCTTGCTCCTTGGCAGAATGGGGTTGGAGTGGATGGCCCATGGTGGTGTTTTGCAGCTCTTTCATTGTGTGAGAAGGTAGGCCCCAAGCCTGTCAGAAGCAGAGGAGGAAAAGAGGCCTAGTTCACCCGGGGAGGCCTCGCGAGGGACCCGAGTGTGGAGGCAAGGCGGCGGCGGAAAGGAGGGCCTTCTCCCCGGAAGGAAGAGAGGAAGAGAGGAAGGGAGGAAGGAAGGCCTTTCCTTTCCCCGCCTGACAGGAAATCCTGGCTGGGCGCGAGCGAGGAGGAGGCGAGGGCCGCGACGAGGCGCCGGGTTCCGGGGGAAGTGGAATTATTTTTTACCAGCCCAGGAGAGAGAGATCCACTTCCACATCCGGTAACAACCAGGGGCCTCGGCAGCAAGGGCGCCGACTGACCTGGAAAAGCTTGGCTGGCCGTGGAAAGGAAGAGGAAGGAAGGAAGGAAATGAGGAGGGGGGAGGGCCGGGCGCCGCTTACCGTGCCTCCGCCGGAGAAGGAAAGAAAGAAGGAAAGAAGGCCTCTTCCTCCGCCTCCTCCTCCGCCGCGTCTCTGAGGCGCCCAAAAGCCCCGCCAAAGAGTCCCTCTCGGCGCTGTGGCGGAAGGACACCGGCAGGGAGCGCTCTTCTGATTTTAGGCCTCGAGGAGGGGGAGGCGGGACACACAAAAAGGAACCACTCTAAACACATTCATTCATTCCTTATTATTACTCAACTTTCCTTATTCGACATAGGGATTATTTTTTTGTATCTCAAGAGGCCTCACAAAAGAAACCGGAGAGGAAAGGAAAGGGGGGAGAGGGAGTGTGTGGCGGAGGGATATCAACATTTGAAATCCGCGCAGGCGCAGAAGCCAGCAAGGGAGCCGCCATGTTTGAAGGCGGCTGCTTTTTCCCGCCTTGGAAGGGAGGGAGTTCGGCCTCCGAGGGAGGGAGTTTAGCCTCATAGCCCAGAATATCAAGGCAGAAAAATGCCACAATATCTGCTTTGAACTGGGCTATCTGGCTCCGCACTGTCATTAAGCAGATAATGTGGGATTGTATACAGTTGTGTGGAAGGGCTCTCTTCCCCTCTCTCTCCCCTCTCTCCCTTTCCCCCTCCTTCTCCCCCTCTCTCTCCCTCCTTCCCCGCTCTCCCTCTTTTCTCCCTTTCCCCCTCCCTCTCGCTCTCTTCCCATCTTCCCTCCTTCCCCCTCTCCCTTCCTCCCTCCTTTCCCCCTCTCCCCTTCCCCCTTTCTCTCCCCCATCTCCCTTTCCCCCTCTCTCCCCCTCCCTCCTTGCCCCCTCTCTCCCTCCTTCTCCCTCTCTCCCTTCCCCCCCCTCCTCTTTCTCTCTCTTCCCCTCTCCCTCCCTCCTTGCCCCTCTCTCTCCCTCTCCCCCTCTCTCTTTCTCCTTGCTGATATATTCCGGTTCTAAGCAGATAATGTGGGATTGTATGCAGCTGTGTGGGAGGGCTCCCTCCTCCCTTTCCCCTCCCTCTCCCCTCTCCCTCTTCCCTCTCCCCCTCCCTCCCCCTCTCTCTTTCCCTCTCCCTCCCTCCTTTTCTCCCTTTCCCCCTCCCTCTCGCTCTCTTCCCATCTTCCCTCCTCCTCCCCTCCCTCCCTCTCCCCCTCTCTCTCCCTTTCCCCTCCCTCTCTCTCCCCTCTCTCCCTTTCCCCCTCCTTCTCCCCCTCTCTCCCTCCTTCCCCGCTCTCCCTCTTTTCTCCCTTTCCCCCTCCCTCTCGCTCTCTTCCCATCTTCCCTCCTTCCCCCTCTCCCTTCCTCCCTCCTTTCCCCCTCTCCCCTTCCCCCTTTCTCTCCCCCATCTCCCTTTCCCCCTCTCTCCCCCTCCCTCCTTGCCCCTCTCTCCCTCCTTCTCCCTCTCTCCCTTCCCCCCTCCTCTTTCTCTCTCTTCCCCTCTCCCTCCCTCCCTCCCTCCTTGCCCCTCTCTCTCCCTCTCCCCCTCTCTCTTTCTCCTTGCTGATATATTCCGGTTCTAAGCAGATAATGTGGGATTGTATGCAGCTGTGTGGGAGGGCTCCCTCCCCCCTCCCTTTCCCCTCCCTCTCCCCTCTCCCTACTTCCCTCTCCCCCTCTCTGCTCCCCCTCCCTCCCCCCTCTCTCTTTCCCTCTCCTTCCTTCTCCCTTTCCCTCCTTCCTCTCTCACCCTCTTTCCCTCCCTCCTTTCCCCCTCCCTCCCTCTTTGCCCCCTCTCTTCCCTTTCCCCTCCTTCTCTCTCCCTTCCCCCTCCTTCTCCCCCTCTCTCCCTCCTTCCCCGCTCTCCCTCTTTTCTCCCTTTCCCCCTCCCTCTCGCTCTCTTCCCATCTTCCCTCCTTCCCCCTCTCCCTTCCTCCCTCCTTTCCCCCTCTCCCCTTCCCCCTTTCTCTCCCCCATCTCCCTTTCTCTCTCTCCCCCTCCCTCCTTGCCCCTCTCTCCCTCCTTCTCCCTCTCTCCCTTCCCCCCTCCTCTTTCTCTCTCTTCCCCTCTCCCTCCCTCCCTCCCTCCTTGCCCCTCTCTCTCCCTCTCCCCCTCTCTCTTTCTCCTTGCTGATATATTCCGGTTCTAAGCAGATAATGTGGGATTGTATGCAGCTGTGTGGGAGGGCTCCCTCCCCCCCTCCCTTTCCCCTCCCTCTCCCCTCTCCCTACTTCCCTCTCCCCCTCTCTGCCTCCCTCTCCCCCTCCCTCCCCGCTCTCTCTTTCCCTCTCCCTCCCTCCTTTCTCCCTTTTCCCCTCCCTCTCGCTCTCTCACCCTCTTCCCTCCCTCCTTTCCCCCTCCCCTCCCTCTCTCTCCCCTCTCTCCCTTTCCCCCTCCTTCTCCCCCTCTCTCCCTCCTTCCCCGCTCTCCCTCTTTTCTCCCTTTCCCCCTCCCTCTCGCTCTCTTCCCATCTTCCCTCCTTCCCCCTCTCCCTTCCTCCCTCCTTTCCCCCTCTCCCCTTCCCCCTTTCTCTCCCCCATCTCCCTTTCCCCCTCTCTCCCCCTCCCTCCTTGCCCCTCTCTCCCTCCTTCTCCCTCTCTCCCTTCCCCCCCCTCCTCTTTCTCTCTCTTCCTCCTCCTCCCCTCCCTCCCTCCTCCCCTCCTCCCCTCCCCCCTCCTCTTCCCTCTCCCTCTCCCTCTTCCCTCTCCCCTCTCTGCCTCCCTCTCCCCCTCCCTCCCCGCTCTCTCTTTCCCTCTCCCTCCCTCCTTTCTCCCTTCCCCCTCCCTCTCGCTCTCTCCACCCTCTTCCCTCCCTCCTTTCCTTGCCCCTCCCTCTCCTTTTCCCTCCCCCCTCTCCCTTCCCCTCCCTCTCCCCCTCTCTCTCCCTTTCCCCTCCCTCTCTCTCCCCTCTCTCCCTTTCCCCCTCCTTCTCCCCCTCTCTCCCTCCTTCCCCGCTCTCCCTCTTTTCTCCCTTTCCCCCTCCCTCTCGCTCTCTTCCCATCTTCCCTCCTTCCCCCTCTCCCTTCCTCCCTCCTTTCCCCCCTCTCCCCTTCCCCCTTTCTCTCCCCCATCTCCCTTTCCCCCTCTCTCCCCCTCCCTCCTTGCCCCTCTCTCCCTCTCCCTCCCTCCTTCTCCCTCTCTCTTTTCCTCCTCTTTCTCTCTCTTCCCCTCTCCCTCCCTCCCTCCCTCCTTGCCCCTCTCTCTCCCTCTCCCCCTCTCTCTTTCTCCTTGCTGATATATTCCGGTTCTAAGCAGATAATGTGGGATTGTATGCAGCTGTGTGGGAGGGCTCCCTCCCCCCCCTCTCCCTTTCCCCTCCCTCTCCCCTCTCTCTCCCTCTTCCTCTCTCCCTTTCCTTCCTCCCTCCCTCTCTCCCTCCCTCCCCCTCTCCCTCCTTCCCTCTCCCTCCCTCCTCTCCCTTCCCCCTCCCTTCTCCTCTCCTCCCTCTTCCTCCCCTCCCCCTCCTTTCCCCCTCCCGCCCTCTCTTCCCCTCCTCATCCCTTCCTCTCTCTCCTCTTCCTTCCCTCTCGCCCCTCTCTCTCCCTTTTCCCCCTCCTCTCCCCCTCTCTCTCCTTTCCTTTCTTCCCCCTCCCTCTTCCCCTCCTTCCCCCCCCTCTCCCTTCCCCCTCTCCCTCTCTCCCCCCTCTCTCTCTCCTTCCCTCCCCCCCTCTCTCCCTTTCCCTCTCTCCCTCTCCCCCCTCTCTCTCCCTTTCCCCTCTTTGCCTCTCTCTCTCTCTCTCTCTCTCTCTGGGCCCTTCCACGCAGCCCTATATTCCAGAATATCAAGGAAGAAAATCCCACATTATCTGAATGCGGATTTGGATAACCCAGTTCAAAACAGATATTGTGGGATTTTCTGTCTTTATATTCTGGGATATAGGGCTGTGTGGAAGGGCCCAGAGAGAGAGAGAAAGAAAGGGCTCTTCCACGCAGCAGTATAAAATCCCACATTATCTGCTTTGAACCAGAATATATAACAGTGTAGAGTCAGATAACCCAGTTCAAAACTGTGGATTATCTGCCATGATATTCTGGGTTAAATGGCTGTGGGGAAGGCCCTAATGTCCCTATCACACAGCTATATGTTGTTGTTCATTCGTTCAGTCGTCTCCGACTCTTCGTGACCTCATGGACCAGCCCACGCCAGAGCTCCCTGTCGGCCGTCACCACCCCCAGCTCCTTCAAGGTCAGTCCAGTCACTTCAAGGATGCCATCCATCCATCTTGCCCTTGGTCAGCCCCTCTTCCTTTTGCCTTCCACTTTCCCCAGCATAATTGTCTTCTCTAGGCTTTCCTGTCTCCTCATGATGTGGCCAAAGTACTTCAACTTTGTCTCTAGTATCTTTCCCTCCAGTGAGCAGTCTGGCTTTATTTCCTGGAGGATGGACTGGTTGGATCTTCTCGCAGTCCAAGGCACTCTCAGAACTTTCCTCCAACACCACAGTTCAAAAGCATCTCTTCCTTCGCTCAGCCTTTCCTAAGGTCCAGCTCTCACATCCGTAGGTTACTACAGGGAATACCATGGCTTTGACTAGGCGGATCTTTGTTGCCAGTCTGATGTCTCTACTCTTTACTATTTTATCGAGACTGGACATTGCTCTCCTCCCAAGAAGTAAGCGTCTTCTGATTTCCTGGCCACAGTCTGCATCTGCAGTAATCTTTGCACCTAGAAATACAAAGTCTGTCACGGCCTCCACGGTTTCTCCCTCTATTTTTCAGTTGTCAATCATTCTTGTTGCCATAATCTTGGTTTTTTTGACGTTTAGCTGCAACCCGGCTTTGGCGCTTTCTTCTTTCACCTTGATTAGAAGGCTCCTCAGCTCCTCCTCGCTTTCGGCCATCAGAGTGGTGTCATCTGCATATCTGAGATTGTTAATGTTTCTTCCACACACAGCTATATAAAATCCCACATCTTTTGAACTGGAATATATAGCAGTGTGGACTCAGATAACCCAGTTCAAAGCAGATACTGTGGATTATTTGCCTTGATATTCTGGGTTATATGGCTGCGGGGAAGGGCCCTAAGGTCCCTATCACACAGCTATATAAAACCCCACATTATCTGCTTTGAATTAAAATATATAACTGGAGTCAACCCATGTCAAAGCAGATACTGTGGATTATCTGCCTTGATATTCTGGGTTATATGGCTGTGGGGAAGGTCCCTATTACACAGCTATATAAAATCCCACATCTATTCTGAACTGGAATATATGGCAGTGTGGAGACAGATAACCCAGTTCAAAGCAGATACTTTGGTTTATCTGACTGGATATTCTGGGTTAAATGGCTGTGGGGAAGGGCCCCGTGGCTCCAGAAAAGACTGGCAGGTTTTGCCATAGATTTCAAAGTCAGCCATGTTAGGGTCCTTCTACACTGCCATATAATCCAGATTTTGAAAGCACCTAATCCACAATATCAATTTTGAACTGGATTATATGTTGGTGTAGACAGAGGTCCCTTCATTGAGCCATATAACCCAGGGCCCTTCCACACAGCCATATAACTCAGAATATCAAGGCAGATAATCCACAATATCTGCTTTGAAGTGGGTTATCTGAGTCCACACTGACATATATTCCAGTTCAAAGCAGATATGGGGTTTTATTCAGATGTGTGGAAGGGGTCCCAGAATATCAGGGCAGATAATCTACAATATCGGATTATCTGAGTCCACACTGTCATCTAATCCAGTTCAATGTGGATTTTAGACAGCTGTGTGGAAGGGACCTTAGTCTCAGATATCTGTTTGCCAAGCAGATAATGTGATTTATCTGATTTAATAATCTGGATTATCTGGCAGTGTATAAGGGGTCTGAGGGCCCTTCCACGCAGCCATATAATCCAGAATATCAAGGTGGTTAATCCCACAATATCTGCATTGAACTGGGTTATCTGAATTGACACTGCCATATATTCTAGTTCAAAACAGATAATTTGGGATTTTATTCAGCTGTGTGGAAGGGGTCTGAGACAAGGTCTCATCTACACTGTCATGTAATCCAGTTCAGTGCAGATAATCTGGATTCTATGTTAGTAAAAATCCATCCAGAAAGAAGTTTGGTAGTAACAGCTTCCATTGCTGTGTGCATTAAAGAAAGTTCGTTATTATTTATTGTTTATACCCGTTTTTCTCTTTCCACAAATAAGACTTAAAGCAGTTCAGAGATCCATGTAGTCAGTTTCAAGTTGGATTATCATTGATCAATGTAGAGAAAAGAGTGAACTGTGTGCCAGATTTTACATTGATCCAGTTTACAGGTGAGATTAATCATTCTTATGCAAAGCTATTCAGGTCCATCAGAAGTGCTTTGATTCCCAGACTAGGCTAAAGTCACTCTTTTGAAGGGAACTAAAAGCAGAGATAGGTGACTCCAGATTCCCACAATTTTCTCAAATATGGCAACGAAAGATTATAATAATGTAACAGTGCAAGTGCTTGCAATTTTAAACTATGTAAAACAGCCCAACAAAAAAATATTAGTGTGTCTTGGTTTTTAGGTTTATTCCCAGGGTTCTTTGGGGTGCTGATTCAGAAAATTGCACTAGATAGACTGCATTATCTCTAGTTTCTTAAATAGGGTTATCCTGATTTCTATGGACAAGTAGATTGTGACTGTTAGATAGCATCTGTCTCAAGAACCAGAACTGCTGGGGGGAAACTGGTGGCATTTTTGGAAACAATCTGCCAAATATACCCAGAAACAGGGCAAACATTCAAGGCACCAAATGTGTGGTGGTCAGTTTTTTAAGTAACTGGACTGGAGGAAGATCAAGGTCCTTCTATACTGCCATAAAATCGAGTTAATAAAACCAAGTTATAACGTTTTGTGATCTGGAGTCTCTTTTCCCTAATTACACTGACTAAATTACCAACTTGTATTTAGTGCTGTGTGTTATGACATGTTTGGAGGAACTGATCTTTGTACTGAAACCTGCATATCCATAGAGCTTTTATGGTGACATGTTCACTGTTGACTCAAATATTCATTATTTTATTCAGAAATCCTGAGTTCTTCCCTACATGGGGCTCAAGACAGCCTACAAGAAAATTAAAACAAAATATGATTAAAACATACAAAAGGTAAAAAAAAAAAACCATTGGTAAAAACGGTGCAAAATAATTTAAATATTGTTTTGATTACTGAAAACCTTCATGCAATAAATCACACATTTTTACCTGAGTTATACAGAATTGTACTAGACTGTAGGTAAAACTAACTGCAGTTCTTTTGGTACAAAATGGAAAATGCTGATGGAAAAAGGCAATGCATCAAGTTGTAAACATGACCTTCAGGAAAGTGCAGTCATATTTCCAGATACCTTGCCCTAGCAATAATACTGATCACTTCCATGTGCTTCTGAAAGTGCATACAGATAGAATATCTGAGTAACCTTGATAAACTAGTGTACTTATAGTCAAAGGGTACTTTCAGTAGTATGAATATACTCAAACAGGCTCACAATTGTCATGCCATGAACCATCACTACCTTGTCCATCCAGATCAGTTATTCATAAGTAAAGTACAAAACGCAGAGAAAGTAAATTCAGGCCTGAGTCTACATCTGCCATATAATCCTCTTCAATGTGGATTTTATACAGCTGTGTGGAAGGGGCCAAGGGCCCTTCCGCAATACCCCTCTATCCCAGGATCTGATCTCGGAGCCCTTCCACACAACCATATAACCAATAATATCAAGGCAGAAAATTCCACAATGTCTGTACTAGAGGCCCTTCCAGATCCTATATCCCAGGATCTGGTTCCAGGGTTTCTGTTTATTCCAGATTAGCTGGCAGTGTGGACACATAATCTAATTTAAAGCATAAAACCTGGGATAGAGGGCCTGTCTGGAAGGGCCCTGGGTCATCTGAGGCCCCTTCCACACAGCTGAATCATAGAGTTGGAAGAGACCTCATGGGCCATCCAGTCCAACCCCCTTCCAAGAAGCAGGAAAATTGTATTCAAAGCACCCCTGACAGATGGTCATCCACCTTCTGCTTAAAAGCTTCCAAAGCTATTATACCTTTTCCAGAATGCGATAATTAGGAACGATAGATTATTTAACGCCTGGAATAAAGAAATATTAAAATTTATCTGGAAAGGGAAAAGACCGAGAATAAAATATGGATATTTGACTGATGCGAAGAACAGAGGAGGGCTAGGTCTACCAGATCTAAACCTCTATTCCGAAGTGTGTGGTCTAAGCTGGATAAAAGATTGGATCTTACTAAATAAGGAGAAAATACTAGAATCGGAGGGTTTCGACCTGGGAATTGGCTGGCACGTGTACCTCTGATACGACCAAATCAAAAGGGATTTTTTTTTTTAACAACCACTGTTAGATCTGCGCTAATGAAAATGTGGGCCAGATTTTATTTATTATTTATTATTATTATTTACTTCGCTTATAGACCGCAATTCTCAGCCCAGGGGCGACTCGCTGCGGTGTACAACATAGAAAAACAGGTGCAAAATACAAACATAGTGTAAAATAATCCACAATTCATCATTATCAAAAAAACATCCCATCAAACATCAACATTACTACATAAGCCATTCCGAGTCGTCTCATCGTCAAACCCACAATCCGATATCATTTCCGTTGTTCCATTCCTATGGTCAAATTACCAGTCATTGCACTTCTTGTTCAAATGCCTTCTTAAACAGCCAGGTCTTTAACTTCCTGCGGAATATCAACAGGGAGGGAGCTAGCCTGATGTCCACGGGAAGGGTGTTCCACAGCCAAGGAGCCACCACCGAGAAGGCCCTATCTCTCGTCCCCGCCAGCCGTGCCTGTGACGCAGGCGGGATTGAGAGCAGGGCCTCCCCGGAAGATCTCAAAGTCCTCGTGGGCTCATAGGCCGAGATGCGGTCAGATAGGTAGCTTGGGCCAGAACCATTTAGGGCTTTAAAGGCCAACGCCAGCACTTTGAATTGAGCCCGGTAGCATATCGGCAGCCAGTGGAGCTGGTTCAGCAGGGGAGTTGTATGCTCCCTGCGCCCCGCTCCTGTTAAAATCATGGCTGCCGCCCGTTGAACTAACTGGAGCTTCCGGACTGTCTTCAAAGGCAACCCCACGTAGAGAGCGTTGCAGTAATCAAGGCGGGATGTAACCAGTGCGTGGACTACCGTGGCTAGGTCAGACTTCCCAAGGTACGGTCCGCAGTTGGCGCACAAGTTTTAACTGTGCGAATGCTCCCCTGGTCACCGCCGAGACCTGGGGTTCCAGGATGAATGCAGTTTGATACCCTGCTTAGTAAGACTAATTTTATATATATATTAATAATATATAAATAATATAAGTAATCATGGCATACTGAAACAGGGAGGATTGCCTCTGGAAGAATAGCTTTAAGTCGAGTTTCATGTTCGCTAGTTCTTAGCTATTATTATACTTATGTATTATTTTAATCTATTTATTATTATTATTATTATTATTATATTATATATTATTATTATTTATTAGTTATTATTATTTATCCTGGGTTAAAAGCCAGTTCCCGAACTTTTGTGTTTTGGACTGCAATTCCCAGGATTCCTCTCCATTGGACAGGCTCGCGGGGCCTTCTGGGATTCGAAGTCCAAAACACTTAAAGAGGCCCCCACTGTGTGTTGCTTATTGAGTAGGCCTCGGACGCGCCTGTCGCCCAGGTCCTTTGGGGAGCGGGCCTCTCGTTTTCTCTTCAGGCCCGCCGCGGCCACCTCATCCCTCTCGGAGGCCCCCACCGCCGCTTTCGGACACTTCCGGCGGCCCAGCCCCTTTCGCGGAAGTCCCGTCTCCCCGCCCCTCAGTTCCGCCTCGGCCGGCCAACGAGAGGCGAGAGAAGCTCGGGCTGCCTCCCTCCCTCCCTTCCTTCCTCAGCTGCTCGGGTGCCGGGAGATGGGCCTAGCCCTGAAGGGAAGCACAGCGAGGCCGGGGCCGGGGTGAGTCCTCCTCTGGAGAGCGAGGGTAAAGGCCTGCCGGGCCTGGAGAGGCCTGCTCGGCGCCTCAGGGGAGCCAGAGAGGGTTTGGCCCAAGACAGGGAGGGAGGGAGGCCTTTCAATTGGAACGAGAGCTGTTTCAAGTGAGCCCACTTCAACTGCCACGGCCCAGTTCAGTGGGCACACTTGAAACTCCCAAGCATTCCACAAGGCAGTTAAAAGGGTCTCAAACTGCATTGATTCCACGGTGTGGCTTAGGTTCAAGGTGAGTTCAAAAGCTGACTTGTCCCACCGAAGCTTGGGTTTCAAGGGCACTTCACAGGTGAAATCTGCAAGAGAATACTTTTATTGTATTGTCGAAGGCTTTCATGGCTGGAATCACTGGCTTCTTGTGGGTTTTTTCGGGCTATATGGCCATGTTCTAGAGGCATTTCTCCTGACGTTTCGCCTGCATCTATGGCAAGCATCCTCAGAGGTAGTGAGGGCTGTTGGAACTAGGAAAAAGGGTTTATATATCTGTCTGCTGGAGCTAGGTGTGAATGTTTCAACTGACCACCTTCATTAGCATTTGAAGGCCTGGCTGAGCCTGGGGCAATCTTTTGTTGAGAGGTGTTAAGATGTGCCTGGTTGTTTCCTCTGTGCTGTTTTGCTGTTGTAATTTTAGAGTTTTTTAATACTGTTAGCCAGATTTTGTTCATTTTCATGGCTTCCTCCTTTCTGTTGAAATTGTCCACATGCTTGTGGATTTCAGTGGCTTCTCTGTGTCTGACATGGTGGTTGTGAGAGTGGTCTAGCATTTCTGTGTTCTCAAATAATATGCTGTGTCCAGGTTGGTTCATCAGTGCTCTGCCATGGCTGACTTCTCTGGTTGGAGTAGTCTACAGTGCCTTTCATGTTTCTTGATTCATGTTTGGGCAATGCTGCGTTTGGTGGTCCCTATGTAGACTTGTCCACAGCTGCATGGTACATGGTAGACTCCTGCAGAGGTGAGAGGATCCCTCTTGTCCTTTGCTGAACGAAGCATTTGTTGGATTTTCTTGGTGGGTCTGTAGATAGTTTGTATGTTGTGTTTCCTCATCAGCTTCCCTATGCGGTCAGTGGTTCCCTTGATATATGGCAAGAACACTTTTCCTCTGGGTGGATCTTTGTCTTTACTCTCGTGGCTTGTTCTTGGTCTTGCAGCTCTTCTGATGTCTGAGGTGGAGTCTCCATTGGTCTGGAGAGCCCAGTTGAGGTGGTTCAGTTCATCTTGGAGGAGGTGGGGTTCACAGATTCTTTTTGCATCTGCCAAGGCTTTAATTGTTTCAATGGATACATTAGTTAAATTAGCTGTCCCCATGGCCTACAGAGCCTAGTTGTACCAGTCTGTTGTTTATCTCTCTATAAAATAAAGAGGAGAAAGTGAATTGTTTCTTAATGATATGTATGTCTTGTATGCTTGTGTAAACCAGTATTTTCTTGTTGGTTTCTTTGTCAAGTTGTTAGACGTGTTAAAAAAGTGAAGGGAGAGATTGTTTGGTTTGCCCCATCTTGGAACTGGCATAGTATCATTGTGCCCTTACTGTCAAGTGATCCGTGGGCTTTCAAGTCTTAGATAGCTATAGCTCTGTTCTAGTTTTGAAGTGATATAATCTAGCCTGATCTAGGCTATAGTCTCATCATTATGGCTGGGTTGTGCTGCTTAATGTCAGTGTTCAGGACTTTGATTACAATTTTCTTGCCGATGAAGGGAGTTAGGAATTGATGGCCTTCAGAAGATATTTTTTGTTGGTGCATGGGGAGTATCTGTAGTGGGAAATTCGGCCCCACTAACCGCCCGTAATGAGCTAGTTTAATATAAGTAACTTCAGTGTGTTAGGTAACCAGGCATGGGCAAAGTTGGGCCCTCCCTCCAGGTGTTTTGGACTTCAATTCCCACAGTTCCTAAGAGCCTCAGGCCCCTTCCTTTTCCCCTCAGCTACTTAAGTAGAAAAGGAGAAGAAAAGGAAAGGGCCCGAGGCTGTTGGTAATTGTGGGAGTTGAAGTCCAAAACACCTGGAGGGAGGGCCCAAGTTCGCCCATGCCTTCCCTATCCCATCAAGTGTTACAATTATGTTGTGTAGTTACATCCAAACTTGACTGGGGCACAGAACAGAAGGATGGTCCCCACCTCTGTCCATTGATCCACTTCTGGTTTAATGTGTATTCTCTCCAAAAAGGAAGTTTCTTCTCAAGTGTTCCAGCCTCTAAACCAGGCATGGCCAAACTTTGCCCCTCCGGATGTTTTGGACTTCAACTTCCACAATTCCTAGCAGCCAATAGGCTGTAAAGAATTATGGGAGTTAAATTCCAAAACACCTTAAGGGCTGGAGTTTGCCCTTGCCTGGTCTACACGGTAGAATTGAACTATCAATAGGCACAGGCCCTGTTCCCAGAGTTAAACACACTTATGGGCATGTACTTGTCATAATAGGTCACATTTGGAAACTCAAATTGGTGGCTATCTACATATAGAAAAGTTATGAAAATTCAAAATTGGAAATGATTACTAGAGATGTTTCATCATTTGAATGTGGTTTTTAGCAGGCTTGTCACACTGTATGATGTCAGTAGAATATGGATGAATGTAAGTTAAGTAATTACACCACAAAGTATTCAAGCGACTCATTCTGGATTGTTAAACCAGGCTGGAGTTACACTGCCCTATATCCCAGGACCTGATGCCAGATTATCTGCTTTGAACTGGGTTATATGAGTCTACACTGCCAGATTATCTGGGATAAACAGATAATCTGTGATCAGATCCTGGGATATAGGGCAGTGTAGAGCCAACCACAGAGCTTTCAGTGAAAGAGGCTTGGTGCTTTGTGATTTGCGAAGTTGTAGAAGTATCCTGAACTTTAAACCAGAGTTATTTATATTTCTCGTGTCAGGAGCGAGAAATAAAACAAAAAACACAAAGTTTGCAAAAGTTGAGAACTTTTCTGCAGTTCCCATAAGCCCCAGTGGTAAGGGATTGTAAGAGTTGTAGTCCTAAAATGGAATATTTTGAGCAGTCCATGGGTGGGGGGTCCCAAAAGCAGAGAACTGGCCCTGAGAATTTCTAAAGTTGTTGATCTCTCTGGCCCCTTCCACACAGCTGAATAAAATCCCACATTTTCTYCTTTGAACTGGAATATATGGCAGTGTGGACTCAGATAACCCAGTTCAAATCAGATATTGTGGGATGTTCTGCCTTGATATTCTGGGTTATATGGCTGTGTGGAAGGGCCCTCCAATAATATAATTAGAATATTAAGTATTCATCTTTGAACTCAGCCCACTTCATTGCAGTATATATCAAGATTTATTTATTTATTGACGTGTCAGGAGTGACCTGAGAAACTGCAAGTTGCTCCTGTTGTGAGAGAATTGGCCYTCTGCAAGAACGTTGATGTTTTACTGTGATCGTTTAAAGGATTCACAGTCAGTATGACATGCAAATAAGCATTTTGGGCTAAGACAACTGCAGGCTTTCAATGTTTTTGTAAGCTGCTGAGGTCCCTTCCACACAGCCCTATATCCCAGAATATCAAGTCAGAAAATCCCACAATATCTGCTTTGAACTGGGTTATCTGAGTCCACAGTGCCATATATTCCAGTTCAAAGCAGATAATGTGTGGTTTTCTGCCTTGATATTCTGGACATAGGGCTGTGTGGAAGGACCCAGAGAATCCTCTTGTGCTAGAAACCATTTTGCTATTTTGTTATGTCACTTCAGGTACATTGGAACCAGAAAGTAAGGTTTGGCTTGTGGGAGAACATCAATAATTTGATGAAATGACATTATGCATACTTAGGCAATAAAGTCTGCCAAGAGGGACTGAATTCTGTAATCTTTGTATGGTAGTTAGAAAACTTAACATGCTTTAGTAATACAGCACTAGCACTATAGTAAATTATCAGAAAATGGTCATAATTTCAGAAGTTTGCGGCAGTGATGGGAAGTATTGGGATTAATGCCTTTGAATAATAAATACTTGTGTTTTTCAGTTCTGTGAGATCCATATTACACAGAAATATATTTTAACAAGTGTAGCTCATAGTAAGCACTTTCAGATATTTGAGTCTGTAACCCTATAAATACTTCAGATAAAAAGAAAAGCCAATAATCCATCAAAGGTGGTTGCCAAAGTCTTATTGATTTTGAATCTGGATTGTTCAGCTGTTCTTTATCTATTATATAGCCTGGGTTGAGATGTTCTTTGGGAATAAGTGCACTTTCAAGCGTGTGTGCAGTTTCACTCAAGAAAAAGTGTGTTTAATTTTTTTTATTCTAAAAAGTAAACTTTGATTTTGCCATCTTTTTCTACACTATTGTATTTAATGATTATTTTAAAACATTTATATTCTGCCCTTCTCACCCCGAAGGGGACTCAGGGCAGAGCACAGCATATACATGGCAAACATTCAATGCCGGTACACAAATTCACATACAATACATAAACATTAAAAAAACATTTATCCAAATATTAAAATACACCATTTAAAACCATCCTAGTCATCCACTGCAACGCACTCTACATGGGGTTGCCTTTGAAGACTGCTAGGAAACTTCAAATAGTCCAACAAGAGGTAGCCAGGTTAATAACTGGAGCAGCACACAGGGAGCATACAACTCCCATGTTACGCCAGCTCCACTGGCTGCCAGTTTGCTACTGGGCACAATTCAAAGTGCTGGGTTTGGCCTATAAAGCCCTAAACGGCCCCAGGCCAAATTATTTGTCCGAACGTATCTCCCCCTATGAACCTTCACAGAGATTAAGATCCTCTGGGGAGGCCCTGCTTTCCGTCCCGCCATTGTCACAGGTGCAATTGGTGGGGACGAGAGACAGGGCCTTCTCTGTGATTGCTCCCCAGCTATGGAACTCCCTTCCTGGTGAGATCAGGTCGGCCCCCCTCCCTCCTGTCCTTTAGAAGGATGGTAAAAACTTGGCTGTGGGACCAAGCTTTCGGGACAGGGCAATAAAGCGGCAATAGGAAAGATGACCAGCCAGTTAGATTTGATGCGGATGACTAGGACGGTTTTAAATGGTGTATTTAAATATTTTAATACTTTTTTAATGTTTATGTATTGTATGTGAATTTGTGTCCCAGCATTGAATGTTTGCCGTGTATATGCTGTCCCTGAGTCCCCTTCGGGATGAGAAGGGCGGAATATAAATGTTTTAAATAAATAATAATAAATAAATGAGATTGAACATCTATCGGTTTTGGTATCCGAAGAACTGATGAGAGAAAATTGTAGTGGTCCTGGATCCAAACCCCAGTGGATAACAAAGGCCCACTGTATGCGTATTTGCACGGCTGTCCTAGTCATACCAGATATATATAGACAAATTGGACTTGGAAAACCTTTTTAAATTGTTTTTTAACAACTGAGTTTAGTCCTTGTTTGTTTGTGGAAACGTTTGTTGTAAATCAAAAGAAGTTACACAACAGTCGGTAAAATATTGTAAGTGAAGGGGGAAGCACTGATAACATTTTCTTTTCATCTCATGCCTGGAATGTATTGTGGTTAACGTATAGTAGCACAGCTGAGGCAAATACATTAAAAATGTAGGCAGCAGTAGGATGAGCCCAAACATTGCTTACTCATATCCGTAGTAAACATGGAAGTCTATAATTGAGAAATAGAGGAGCTAATTAAATACTGTAATCCCTTATATTTCAGGAGGTGCAGTGTTCGCCAATTTGTAAAACAGCTTACATTACTAAATAACTTTCCTGTATATCCTGTGGATGAAAATCTGGTTAATATTTGATCCACAAGCTTAAGTGAATATCTGTAGAAAGAAATGAAAGGCATTGAAATGAAAAATAATTTGGATTATTTGAGTCAACCTCCAGCCATTTGGATTAAGAAAGACTGGAGCTATTAGATTTCAAAAGTTCATTAAAGTATTTGTCTTACCCGTCAACTTAAGGAAATCGTGAATTAGAAATTTATGTTGGAGGTTATCAATCAGTAAAGGAGGAAACAATGATATAGAAGTGGTGCTTTTTACAGTAGTCAGCATTATAATTTACATGTTGTGAAATCTGAGAAAAGCAACTATGTGTGCAATTTTCCCTTTAAACTGTCATTTTACTTTGTATGATAAGAATGGCTCAATTAGTTATTTGATGAAGCTTTCAAATTATGTAATTTTAATTTCAACTATGCTGGTTAACTGAGTCATTAGGAGCTCCCGGTGGCGCAATGTGTTAAATCCTTGTGCGAGCAGGACTGCTGACAGAAAGGTTGGCAGTTCAAATCCGGGGAGCGGGGTGAGCTCCCATCTGTCAGTTCCAGCTTCTCATGCAGGGACATGAGAGAAACCACCCACAGGATGGTAAAACGTTCGGGCGTCCTCCTTGCAGACAGCCAATTCTCTCACACCAGAAGCGACTTGCAGTTTCTCAAGTTGCTCCTGACACGATAAAAATAAAAATCTGAGTCATTTATTTTTGTGCCTGTCAAATCAGTGGTCTCTGAATTAGTGCCAGTGTGCATGTGTCCAGTGCTGGAACTGGGTGCCATTCCAGTCCTCCCCCAAGAGTTCACCTAATGCCAAACGCTAACATATTTCTGTAAAATAGGCAGCCTGAAACTGTGGCCCTCCGGGGGCCTCCAACTCCCAGAAGCCCCAGCAAGCTTGTTCAGTGGTCAGGAATTCTGGGAGTTGGAGGCCCAAACAGCTGGAGGGCTGCAGTTTGAGGACACCTTCTGTAAGATAAGATTTATTTTGGTGAGTGATGCATCAGATGGTACAAACCAGATAAAAATTCCAGACCCTTTTGTTGATAGGTTCCAGCGTTTCCCCACAGCCAAAGATAGAATATGTATTGCTATTCTGATTATATCAGTACTCCATTCTAATGCCAAAGGAAAAAACTAATTACTGACTGCAGTCAAGGTGATGAAGAAAAAAAATTACATAACATGTTGAACCTTGAATATATATTTAGAAAAGGCTTGAAGTTTCTAGGATACAGCAGTGGCTTTAAAAAAATAGTAATCCATGTTGTAGGAGAAAATGCAGATGTAAAGGACAAAGTGAACTAGAAACACATGTGTATTGGTGGATGGAGTGATATGTAATGTATCGTCACACTGAGGTTTGTAGAAAACAGTGTATTATTACATAGTATTTTCTGCTAATCCATTTTCCCCTACATTTCAGTACTCATGCATAATTTATGGTATGCATTTTAAAGGCAGGCATCATCCCCAAGCCTATCTAAATCCAAACTAGACTCTCCTGACTAAACAGAACAAAGTGTAGCCTTCCAGATGTTCTCGTATTCCAACTCCCATCAGCTTTAGTCATGGTGTCTGATAATGAGGAATACAGGAGTTGTAGTCCAGCATCTTAGAGGGCCGCATAAAATGACAATAAAAATGACAAACTTGAGAAAGAGAGTTGAACACGATTCCTTTTGCATTGTGTACAACATTAAGTAAATGTGATTTTTTAGCTGTTTAGGCTATTGACTGCCATACATTGTCAGCGTTTACATGTTCAAACATTCAACTATTGATGAAGACATATCAACTTTCTTTGAACGTCTATTTTAAATCTTTTCTTTTTCAGTAAAACAGGAGTATTGAGCAATAACGTAAAGACTTCCTGAATCCTTTTGAGAAGACATATCTCTATATTAAGATGCCTGCTGTGGCATCTGTACCTAAAGACCTATATCTGTGCACTTCTTTGAAAGATCTTAACAAAAAGACTGAAGTAAAACCTGAGAAAACCAGCACTAAGAGGTATGTATAATTGCTAAGTTGACTTAGTCCGTCTATCTTGTTTTCTCGTATTTTTTAAAAGTGTAGTGTCATTGCTTTCCTGGTAGACAGATTTCAGTAGTGATCAGAGTTCTTTTAATTAGAATACCTTTTCAGCAGGTACTATTTCCTAGCATGTTTATAACACTGCCCAGATAACTAAAGCTGACTACCTCCCGATCAAATATAGTGACATCCCAGTAGAAATAGAACTTTTTACAAGTAATTTTGAGCTTCTTTGAAAGAAGAGAGTGATATAGCACATCTTACATGTAATATTACTAATAATATTACAGTATAATGGTATAGTACAATATAGTAATATATAATACTAATATTGTGCTCTGGCAATAATATAATATAATGCATTTACATATTACTTGAAAGCTGCTCTGTGTCCCCTTCGGGGTGAGAAGGGCTGCATATCAATGTAAATAAATAAATAGATAAATTCAGCATACATTATATCATTTTTGAATAGTGTATAATTTATACAATTTCTAGGCTAGTTTTTATTATTACTTATCTGCCCAATCAGTTAAGTAGCTTTTCTTCTCTTGTTCAACATGAAGAGCCTAGTAGAAACCAAACTATTTGATTTAAAAAGTGCCGTTCGTAGGCTACAACCCTATATATACTTACTTGAGAAATAGCACCTCGGATTTCAGTGATTCACATATTTTAATAAAGCTGGAACATCTGTTTTATACAAACCATATTTTTAAATGATTTTTAATTCTTTGCTTTAATTTCAAGTTATGTACAAAGTGCTCTTAAGATCTTCAAAGCAGCTGAAGAATGCCGTTTGGATAGAGACGAAGAGAAAGCCTATGTACTTTACATGAAATATGTGACCGTTTATAACCTTATTAAAAAGAGGCCCGATTTCAAACATCAACAAGTATGTATGCAGTTACCAATTTATTTACAGTACTTTTAGATTCTTAATACATACCTTAAGGTTTGAGATAGAACTGAAATAATTAAATAAAGTATCAGTAAAGTGAATAGTGATTGTACTTTGTAAAAATCTCCTTTACTGAAAATGTCTTCCTTCCCTTTTAAATTCCCTTTGTGCCACAAAAGTAATTTTGTGCCACAAACATAAATGGAGCAAATTCCCATCTGTACAAGAGGTAAACCTTCTTCCTCCAAGATTTGAACCCAATACTGAGCAGCCTGGATTATGGCAATAATGGCTTATTATTGTTGATGCCCATGGAATTACTGTTGTTTACTTCTGCGATACAGAAAGATTTGAGAGCAAGTTGAAATTAAGGCTCTAGAGTCAGAAATGAGTCAGTTTAGAAAGAAAAGCTCACGAGAGCAAACACTTCAGATTGAGTCTGCAGTTTTCATCTATGTTAGATGGGGTTACAGTCCCCCTGAAAACACAGGTTTGTAGTTTGGGAGTATTCCTGGATTCGGCTCTGAACCTGGAGGCCAGGTATCAGCTGTGACCAGGAGTGCTTTTGCACAGTGAAAGCTAGTGCGCCAGCTGTGTCCATTCCTGTAGAAGTCAGATCTGGCCACAGTGGTACATGCCTTGGTTGGTCTACCTTTGAAAAGTGCTTGGAAACTTCAGTTGGTTCAAAGAGCATTAGCCAAACTGCTAACTGGGGCTACAGGGAGCGTGCAACTCCTCTGTTGCAACAGCTCCACTGGCTGCCAACATGTTTCCAAGCACAATTCAAAGTGCTGGTTTTGACCTACAAAGCCCTATATGTCTCAGATCCAGATTATCTGAAGAACTGCATCTCTTTCAATGAACTTGGGAGACATCTACGATCTACTGGGGAGGGCCTTCTCTTGGTCCCACCACCCACTCAGGAACGCTTGGTGGGAACACAGGAGAGGGCCTTTTCAGTGGCTGCTCCCATGCTGTGGAACCCCCTCCCAAGAGAAACCAGAATGGCCCTATCCCTGGTGGCCTTCCCCAAGCAGGTCAAGACCTTCCTCTGCCAGTAGGCTTATGGGGAAGGGTAAGAGGAGGCTCTGGGGAGGTTGGGTGGGATTAGGAAGGGCAAATGAATTTTAAAGGCCATTAATGTCTGCTGTATTTTAATTCTGTTTTACCACACTGTTATTATTTAATTGTTTTTTTAACTTTTTTTACTGCTCTTTTTAAATTGTTTAGTTTGGATAAATGTTAGTTGCCTTGAGTCCCCATGGGGATAATGGCAGGATAATAATAATGATAATACTAATAATAATAAATATAAACATTGACAAAATCACGATCTGTCAACCTCAAAAGGCCACCTTACTTGGATCTGCTCGCATCATTTGAAAATACATCACACAGTCCTAGATGCTTGGGAAGTGTTTGACTTGTGATTTTGTGATACGAAATCCAGTATATAGATCTCATTTGCTGTGGCATACTGTGTTTTTGTTGCAGTAAAATAATAATAATAATAATATAGCAGTGTTAAAGTGGTAATGATACCAGTAATTTTTCTCTATATAAAATGTACAATAGTATTACATGATTTGATTCTTCTTGTAATTTCAGGATTATTTTCATTCCCTACTTGGACCTACAAATGTTAAAAAGGCTATCGAAGAGGCTGAAAGGCTTTCAGAAAGTCTTAAACTTAGGTACGCTTAACAAATGTCAAAAGCCAATAAGTGCTATCGGAATTGTTATATCTTCTGTCATATGTTTCATCATTAGCTGCAGGGAAAGCATTCTTTCTGCAGCAGCTTCTGGTAAATGAGAAAGTCAGAATGAGCACCTGTTGTTTCACAGTTTTGGTGCCATAATTAAAACAACTTCTCTATTGGCAATAGTGTTGTGCTTCTCTTTTCTTTAATAAACAATAACTTTGGTTTTGGGGATTGTAACAGAACTTGAAATTGACTAATGGCCTAACTCTTACCTCCCTTTACCGATTGAAGCTTTATAAGTAAATCAGTTCAGTAACAGCACCCTTTGCTCATTTAGTACAGATTGAGTATCCCTTATCTGAAACGTTTGGGACTGCATGCGTTAGGAATTTTGGTTTTTTCCCGATTTTGGAATGGAAGCTGCACAGTACATCCTTGACAGCAAACCAAGAGTAATGCTCAGTGTGAATCCGTGCCCTTGCCATGTTGCAGATCTTCATGTCGCTCTTCAATCTGGATTTCCTCTCCAGGCTCTAGTTCACTATGAGATGAAAGCCTGGAGAGAAACTGGGGATCAAAGAAGCTTGATGTTTAGGGAGACATATGACCCCTGTATAATGAGGGGAACATTTTACACATGTAAAATGACTGATCACACTGTCAGGGATTCTGACATTTTATGTGAACTGTGGCATTATATGCTGAGACTAGAATTTGTTGTGGATTTGCTGTACTATTTCTTGGATTATGGTTCGCATGAGCCTCATGGTTTTTCAAGAATGTCTGTTGGGCTTGCTGTTCAAAGTATGTCTAGTCCACAGAAGAGAAGGCTTAGAGGAGACATGATCTTGTTGTTTATTCGTTCAGTCGCTTCCGACTCTTTGTGATCTCATGGACACCAGATCCCACACCAGAGCTCCTTGTTGGCCACGGCCACCCCCAGCTCTTTCAAGGACAATCCAGTCACTTTAAGGATCCCATCCATCCATCTTGCCCTTGGTCGGCCCCTCTTCCTTTTCCTTCCATTTTCCCCAGCATCATTGTCTTCTCTAAGCTTTCCTTTCTTCTCATGATGTGGTCAAAGTACTTCATCTTGGCCTCTACTATCCTTCTCTCCAATGAGCAGTCGGGCTTTATTTCCTGAAGTATGGACTGGTTGGATCTTCTCGCAGTCCAAGACACTCTCAGAACTTTCCTCCAGCACCACAGTTCAAAAGCATTGCTCAGCCTTCCCTATGATTCATAGGGAGACATGATAGCCATATATAAATATTGGAAAGGGTGTAATAAGGAAGAGGGAGCAGGCTTGTTTTGTTCTGCCCCAGAGACTAGGACTCAATGGAGCCATGAGTTCAAATTACAGGAAAGGAGATTCCACCTGAACATTAGGAAGAACATCCTGACCGTAAAAAGAGTTGTTCAACAGTGGAACCCTCTGCCTTGCAGTGTGGTGGAAGCTCCTTATTTGGAGGCTTGTAAATAGAGGCTAGATGGTCATCTGTCAGGGGTGCTTTGATTGTGCTTTTCCTGTATGATGGGTTGGACTGGATGACCCATGTGGTCTCTTCCAACTCTATGATTCTATACCAAAATATAGTTGAAAAGATTTGAGAGAAGTCTTCCCACGCGGGAAGTATTTTTGTTGTGTATTTTGTTTTGTGAACCAATGCCAAATCCATATTTTACAGTTTTTATTTTGGATGTCGCTACTACCTATCCCTTTTAAGAGACCACGTGTGATATATAGTGGTCTGGGCATTGGAGATCAAAGTATGGCCTCAGAAACCCACTGGGTGACTTTGAACATGTCACACTGTCTGAACTTCAGAGGTTATAGGTTTGCCTTTGCGTTACCATAAATTCGAAACAACTTGAAGCCACATGACAACAACAAATAATTTGTTGTTGTTGTTGTGGTTTTATTATATTTTTAATTTTTAATTCAATTTGATAATACCTTTGCCATTATTTTTAATGGCAGGCGGTTTAGAAAATTAGATATTTTAATGATCATTTGTTTATATTTTAAAAGCTGTGGTTAACAAGACCCTACAATGTTGGTAGTCGGTAAATTCACTTCTGAAACTAAAATATATCTGCTTTTCACCAGGTATGAAGAGGCAGAAGTTCGGAAGAAGCTGGAAGAAAGGGAAAGATTGGAAGAGCAACAGCTGAAAAAACAAGAATCAAAAGACGATGCAAAGCCTTTATCCAAAACATATTCAGAAATTTCATCAGATCCTAAAGGAAAAACTCAAATGGTAATTAAGACAGTTCTTGCACAATTTTTAGTTTGAAAAAAAATTATAGAAGTTTACTCTAGTTTTTATAAAGTTTTTTTTCCTTTTGGGGCTTAAAATAGTTTATTTTGCCTTGTTAGAAGAAACGTTGCAGTTACTTTAGTTACTCTTCTGTTTATTTAAGTCTGTCAAAATGTTTGACACTATACAGTATAAGCTATACAATATAACCAGACAGCTCTTAATAATTCTGAAGGCTTGTTTGAAATCCTGCTTCTCACTTCCTAAAAGATCACCGCAGATCTTGTAATTACTATGCCAAGAAATTTTATCTGAGGCATCTTGTTACATTGCTAGCACAAATATTTTTGGCCCAACTTGAACCTGTGAATGCGCTGTTCACTTTAGTACACTCGCTCTCCACATTTGTGGGTGCAGTTTTTGTGGATTTTGGGGGGGGGGGTGGAAATCTCTATAGCCTTTTGGAAAATTGCATTCATTACCATTTGCTGGGGAAAATGGAAGAAAAAAGGAATAGGGGCTGACCAAGGGCAAGATGGATGGGTGGCGACATAGAGTTAAGGAAAACTTCATCCCAATACGCACACGTACAATACAGTAAGCATTCTGAATTATATACAAAATAAATAACTAGTGGAGGCTTGAAGAAAGTTGCGATTTCCAATGGATTTGTGTCTTATGTTTTCTCTAGGAATCTCTTGGTCCTCCAGGATGATTCTATGGCCCTTTGAGTCATCTTGGAAAATCTAGAGATTTTAATAGATGTGTTCTCATAGGTAAAAGATAAATGGCCTTTTATAAAATGCATACATTCTTCACCCCAAATGCCAGTTAAAGTAGTGGATCTGCTGTATTGAATATTTTTACATTGAGTCGTTCTTTGCATTAGGTTGCCATGAGAGTGCAGTCCTTGAAAAGACTGCATAGCAGTCATCAAATACTGTTATTACTAAGGCAGGACTCTGCTTTGCTTATGTCAAGAGTTAATTTCGTTAATTCAGACTGAAGTATCACAGAGACATACTCAGGCAGCTCTGAATAACAAAAAGCCCCAAATCCAAGTTTTTAAAAAAGTATCCACAATTTGAATTCAGAATAATTTTTATCAGTTTTTTAATATGCATTACCAGTAAATTTCCCTGTGTTGCATGGGATTACCCCCACTATGCAGGGTGCAACTATTTCACACTTTTGTTGTCCTCATAGTTGCTGTGGCCTGTTTACATATGTTGCACATATTTTTGTCTTTTTAGTTTGTTCTGACTACTGGGGCCTTGGTCAATGTTTATGTTTCACCTCAAGCCATGATGTGGCAAAAAAAGTAGAACATTGTGGAGGATTTCTCTGTGCAGGATGTCATTCTTTATTTTGAATATTTTTTTCATTTTTTTGTTTACAAACTAATTATTGTAATAATAATAATAATAATCAACATTTATTTATACCCCGCTACCATTTCCCGAAGGACTCGGTGCGGCTTACAAGAGGCCGAGCCCAAATACATCAGTAAAAACAGCAACAGCAGCAATACAGACAATAAATAAACTCATAAACAAAGCAGTAAACAATAACAATAACACCACGATGCATTAAAAACCTATGGCAGGGCCAAATGTAATAATTAATTTTTTTTAAAAAAAATGCTGGGCATGACAAGGTGACCTTTAACTAGGATAGGTATTTGGAGAGAGATGGAGCGAGCAGACAATCCTAGATCATTAGTAAAGTGCGATTAGGGAAATGTTGCTTAGGGTTTCCTTATAAGCAAATCATAGTCAGATCAGCAATGGAAAACGGTAGAAGAAGTCGGTGTTGTGCTTTGCCAATAATATTCAAACATCCTGATTAAGAAGAAGGTGCTCTGTGTCTACTTTTCAGTTTTCTTAAATGTCCAGGTATCTTTATCAGTAATGGAGTGTGTGTTCCATTTTTACTAAATAGCCAATTTAAGTTCCTACCTTTCTCTGTTTCTGTATCGACAATTTTATAAAATCAATGCATCTCATACCCTTCCAAAATGCATTACAAAACTTACCTGTGTTTAAAAATATTATAGGTCAATGGAGAGAGGAAGAGTTCAAGTGAAATAAAAGAGCTGCCTGAAAGTGGTAAGTTCACATCTCTCCATCATTTATCAATCTTAATCTCAGTAGCTAAGGCCACAAACAAGAAGCACCAGCAGAATAGTCAGACTATTCATACAAGGAAATATATAGGAAAGGTACAAGGAGTGGCAACCATTCTCTCCCCCGCTCCATACAACATGCACAGGTACACTTCTCTCAATGGATTGGGAAGGGGGTGTCCTAATTAGGAAACTCAAAATTATATTGGAAGCCGCCTTGGGTCCTGCTCCAGAGAAAAGGCAACAAATTAATTAATCAATTTAAAAACTATTCCTTATTACCCAGCGGAATATTAATGTCTCAGGCATCCTTTCATCCAGTACGCTTCTTAAAACAATTCAGTTGCTTTATCTATGTGCCACCTTTCTCTGCCAAGGCAGCTTGCAGAATCAAAAAAAGATACAAGAAAAACCTCACAGTAAATAAAGTGCAGAACTCAGAAAGCAGGGGAATTCCAGACAAGAATCAATCAGGGCCAGCTAACACCTCCCAACAAAGGATTCCCCTAGACAGAAATCAGCCAGGCTTTAAAGCTGCAAGACCATTACATGCTAATCAAGATGGCCATATTGCAACATTCACACTTGCCTCAAGTGAACAAGAGTTCTTTCTTCCACCTTGAACATTCCACGAACATATAAACCTCACTTTCCTAGTTTCCAACAGACCTCTCAACCTCTGAGGATGCCTGCCGTAGATGTGGGTGAAACGTCAGGAGAGAATGCTTCTGGAACATGGCCATACAGCTTGATTCCGGCCATGAAAGCCTTCGACAACACATCAAAACCTCACATAGCTAAAAATATTTTTAAAAGTCACACATAGCAAAGAAAAAACATACAAAAAGGCAATATTACACCTCACACCTCTGAGGTTGCTTGCCATAGATGCAGGCGAAACGTCAGGAGAAATGCCTCTAGAACATGGCTCTATAGCCCGAAAAAACCCACAAGAACCTAGTAATATTAAAATAGTTTATTAAATGAAACCTTATAAGACATTCATTCACTCCACACATTAATCACAATATTCATTTGGGAGACTTTTTCTATCACACTGAAACACTTCTGTTTGAGATCAGTGATCAAACTTAAGTTTGCATCACATATCATGTTTGTTTATAATGAGAATGTGTTGTAAGATATTTGATGTAGGTATTTTCAAATATTTTTTCCTGAAAATCTTGTTCTCAGTTTATTACTTTTTCTAACGCACTATTCTGTCTCTCAAGGAGCAATCACGGCAGAGAAATTGTTTACAATGATGATGGACAAAAGCATCAAGCTGATGATAATGGATGCTCGATGCTTGAAGGATTACCAGGAGTCCTGCATCATAAACTCCGTCTGTGTTCCAGAAGAAGCGATCAGTCCAGGGTATGGGATACATATTCCTGTTAGAGTACTTACTGATTAAGAATTTGTCATTTATCAGGAGTAGAATGGGGGAGAGATGGAAAACCTGTTTGTGTAGCAACAATAAAAGCCAGATTTGGGAACAACTAACATTGTTTCTAACATTTAAAAAGAATCTAGGGCAGTCTTTGCTTGTTCTCGTGATGTAATGGGTTGTATGTTGAGCTTAGATACTTGGGTCTATTTTGAGTATAAGCTGACCCAAATATAAGCTGAGGCACCTAATTTTACCACAAAAACTGGGAAACGTATTGACTCGAGTATAAGCCAAGGGTGGGAAATGCAGCAGCTTCTGGTCAATTTCAAAATAAATATATATATTGATACAATAACATTAATTGAGATAAATGTAGGTTAAATGTTTTTGAATATTTACATAAGACGGTCATTTAAGATAAGGCGGTCCAACTCTGATTCAAGCATTATTCTAACCTCCTTCAATGTAAATGTGCTTACTATCATTCCAATAATGATAGAGTAAAATGATAAATGTAATAACAATAATAATAATAATAATAATAATAATAGAGTAAAATGAAGGAAATGTAATAAATACAGTAATAATAGAGTAAAATAATAAATGAAATAATCATTTCATAATAATAATAAAGTTAAATAATAATAAATAGAGTAAAAGAATAAGTGTAATAAGAATAATAATAACAAACAGGACAAGGAACTTCCTGGAGATGTAAGAAGGTGGAGGAATCATTTTTCCATGTCTGGTGAATGTGTAATATTCACCAGAATATTGGTGAATTTTGGGGAAAAGTGGTGAAAGAAACAATATGATTAAGAAAAAGGTTAAGAAAAACCCGGAAATGTGCCTATTAGGATTATTTAGAATGCGTATCAGTGCAGGAGATGAAGAAATTTGTCAATATTGCTTTGTTGCGGCAACACTAATAATAGCCAAAACTTGGAAAGGGGAAAAAGAGTTATCTATTCAAGATTGGAGAGATAAATTAGTAGATTATATCCTAATGGCCAAGCTGACAAATAGCAGCAGAGGAGGAAATAATGAAGAATTTGCAAACAAATGGAGGCTGGCACTTGGGTATTTGGAAAAGAAGACAAAGGTAAACTTGAAGATTGCCATAAAGGGGATTCAGTGAAAGAAGATATTTGGGTAGTTGTTGTTTAGTAATGTGATCCTGTTTTGAGGGGTTTCGGAGGTCAGGGGGTGGGGTTCATGGGTGGGGGATGGAGGGTTATGTAATGTTAGGGTATAAATAATTGTACAACCAAATCTGATTGTACATATGTTTAATGAGCACTGAATATTGACTCTTTCGTAAATCTTTTGCATATTTTTTCTTTCTTCATTTTTTCCTTTTGTTCATTTGTTTTGTTTTCTACATACACTATGAAACAATAAAAAATTAATAAAATAAAAAAATAATAAGAATAATAACAACAGAGTAAACTAATAAATAATCTTGACTTGAGTATAAGCTGAGGGGGGCTTTTTCAGCCTAAAAAGAGGGCTGGAAAACTATGCTTATACTCGAGTATATACACTATTTTGAAGGACTGCTTATTCAGTCCAGATACTGTGCTGGAGAGTAGCTGAGAGTTGCTAAACTACCTTTTCTCTTGCTGTTTCAAATTTCAGAGAAACTGCTAACCTGATTGAAGCTAAGCTCCCTGATGCTTCCAAAGAGGCATGGAAAGAGAGGGGGCAAGCCAGTTATGTTGTTTTGGTCGACTGGTTTAGTTCAGTAAAGGATTTGCAGTTGGGAACACCTCTGCGAAGCCTCAAAGATGCGCTTTTCAAGGTGAGCAGGTTTTGGTTTATGGTCGTCTTTAATTACCTTCATAAACAAAAATCCCTATAGTTATTGAAAGGGCGTGTTCTGATAGCTTTGATCAACACAGTGGTTAATTGGGTACCTTAAAAGTCTGTTAAAATTTCCATCCTATGTCCCATTCAGACATTGGGTACAGATTCTTATCAGTTCTGGCAAAACAGAAAAGTTGATTGGTTTAGTTAAAAGGGGACACACTCCTCATTGGCTAGAAAAGGAGGGAAAGAAGAGAAGTTGGTACACTAGCATTGCTCATGCAAAACACCCGGAGGACCAAAGTTTGCCCGTGCCTGCTCTAGAAGGAGGAAAAGAAAAGAATGGCAGCGATGACAGGAAAAAAGGTGTCTTATAGATAGATGTTTCTTTTTTAAAAAATAGATTTTTATTATACACAAAGGAAAAAAAAGAAACGTTTTATTGTTGGATTATTAAACATTGGATTATTAAGAAAGTAGGAAAAGAGATAAAAGAAGAGGAAACTAAAGCTAAAAACTGAAGCTAAAAAAGCTTTAAAAACTCACACACACACAAATGAAAAACACAGGTAGGGGGTAGAAAGTTCAGTTGACTTCTATTCTGTGCTTTCACCATTATCATTTGTAGGTACAGTTGTAGTTAAAATTATAGCTGTAATCTTCTTGCTCTAAAAAATTCGTATAATATAAAAAAAGGAAAGAACAGACAGCCAAAAAGAAGAGAAAAGGAAAAATATATAAATAAAAAAATTGTTAAACACTGTCTTTCTACTTCTTCTCTTTTTCATATTTCTCAAAAAGGGACCAATCTGTCCTTTTTGTTCTTAAAAAACAAACAAACGTTAGTCTATCCATATCTCTAATTTCTCTTAATTTATTTATCCTATCATCAGTATCTGGAATCTTATCAGTTTTCCAAAGTTTTGCAAAAGAGATTCTTTCTGCTGTGGACATATAAGTGAATAAAATGTCCTTGTTTTGGTCCAGGAGTAGGTCTGGGTCCATAATACTTAACAGGTAATATTCTGGTTTTCTTAAAAAAGCCATTCCAAGTATTTTTTTGAGACTCTATCTGTATAAATTTCCCATATTTTGGAAATATTCTCTACAAGTCCACCACATGTGGAAAAAACTTCCATTGTGGTTGTGACATTTCCAACAATTTTTTCCAATATTTTATAATGTTTCTTCACTGCTGAGTCCTGAAAAATCCTCAGCGCCACAGCACTGTGAACATGACATAAGCAATGCTGGATCAGATCAAAAGTCAACATTCTCTTCACCGGTTGGATGAAGAGGAAATCTGCTAGCAGTGGTATGTGAGTGCAATTGCACTCTCTATCTTGTGTTCTCCAATAACAGATATATAGAATCCTAGAGTTGGAAGAGACCTCGTGGGCCATCCAGTCCAACCCCCTGCCACGAAGCAGGAAAATCACATTCAAAGGCATATTCTTCCATAGGCCCTTAATTCCAAAGGTGATGTATAGCCATTCTGATTTATTAAGCATTCATGGTCTCATCCTTTCCATGGATTATTCCACATCCCAATTGGCAGCCATAACCACCATGTTATGGCAGCGAGGCCCCACCACCACCACCGTTCCCCCCTTTGACTTTCCACTTGTGTAAGAAGATCTTGGAGATGCAGACATTACAAGGCCCAGACCCATAGCCAGGATTTTGATTCGGGGGGAGCTGAGTTTGATTCGGGGGGGGGCTGAGTCTGAGTGAAAGAGGGTCTACCCTAGCAAACCTTTTGTATCATTACCCCAATACCCCCATGCATATGGGATAGATTGAGCATGGTGATCAGATCATGATATGAATAAACATAACAGTTTAAATAATGTACCAGTAAGGCCTTCTCGCGGACCACCATGAGAATTTGGGGGGGGGCTGACTACCCCCCCCCCCCCCCCCGCCTAGCTACATACCTGACAAGGCCTAACCAAAAACAAACAAAAAAACCCTTGGTGTCCTGGTTTTTAGGCCTATTCCTGAGGCTATTTGAGACAATTGCATTAGATAGACCACATCAGCTCTAGTTTCTTAGGTAGGATTCTGATGGTTTTCTATGTCCAACTGGTAAATGGCATGTGTGCTGTATCTCAAAAACTAAAAATAATGTGGGAAAGTGGTGCCATATTTTTTTTTTGAATTGGCAGCTCAGATATACAGTACCTGGAAACAGATCTAACATTTGAGGCACCAAAAATGTGTATTGCCAGTGTTGTCAAACTACTAGTCATGCTGTGCTCTGTTACACAAGCACGTTGACATCATAGAGAACTAGTCATAGTATTCCCCTAGGCTTGTTTTATTTAAACATGGGTAAGTGCTATACCTGAATATTAAATCATGATTGAGTGTCGCCTTGGTCTTAAGTGAATGTGTATTAGCCATGACGTGACAACAAATGGACCAGCTGCATATTAAGCTTATCTGCCTCTTTGCTTGGCATTATGACAGAATAGTCTTGCTGTGGTCTCCTAGCAAGGAAACTCTTGGAGAAATATTTCAATTTTTATTATTTATTTTATAGTTTTACATAGCTATAAAGCATCCTAAGCATTGTAACTATAATGGAAAGACAACAGTGGTTTTCTTAAGTAAATGAGGTACTTTCAGTGTGATTTGGGATTGTAATTCAAGTTCAAGGCACCACCCCTGATGGTGCACTGGGTTAAACCCCTGTGCCGGCAGGACTGAAGACCGACAGGTCACAGGTTCGAATCCGAGGAGAGGCGGATGAGCTCCTCATCAACTCCAGCTCCTCATGTGAGGACATGAGAGAAGCCTCCCACAAGGATAATAAAAAAAAAATAAAATCATCCAGGTGTCCCCTGGGCAATGTTCTTGCAGACGGCCAATTCTCTCACACCAAAAGCGACTTGCAGTTTCTCAAGTCGCTCCTGTCACGAAAAAAAGGCATGTCAGATGTAATAGTAGGTCATTCTTATAGAGTTTTCGCGCTGAATTCAGATCTATATGTTTTTCTCTATTACATGTAGTTTTTGTGATGAGGCTAATTGAATAATTCATGCATTTACGCACTGATATAAATAGAATCTAATTGATATCAGTGCATAAATGCATTAATATTTTAATTGGCCTCATCGCAAAACTACACATGATAGAGAAAAAATATACACAGATCTGAATTCAGCACAAAAAACTACAGTATAAGAATGACCTAAAATCATATTTAATGAAAAATACTTGTTGGCTTGTGGTTAATTAGATTCTGTTGATATCGGTGGGTAATGCATTAATTATTCTATTAACCTCATTGCAAAAACTACACGTGATAGTGAAAAAATAAACACAGATTTGAATTCAGTGCAAAAAACTACAGTATAAGAATGACCTAAAATCATATCTGATGAAAAATATTTTTTGGCTTGTGTCAACACAATATGAAATGTGCGGACTTTACAGTAGTCTGCTCTAATGTACCATTTGTGATATTTTTAAAAGTTGACGTGATGGGAAAAAATAAAGACATATTTAAAATCAGCCTAAAATTGATTTAAACTGTGCTACTCTCATTTCTGATTATTACAAACGCTTTGATTTTGTTGGCTTGTGTAATTTCTGTTTCAAAAGATCACAAAGAGAGCTGTTCTCAAATAACAAAATAAATGAAGAGGGGGGAAAAGCAAGCAGAAAACGTTCTGAACATTCTGTATAAACCTCTATCATGATTTTTCAAGTGTTTAACCAATATTTCTCAATGTTTAGCATACATTTGATGGAAGGATACTTTATAAATAAGCAAAAACAGTTTTTCTCATTGATACTGAATATAGTTTTATTATCTGATTCAGCATTATACACCGTAATCTGATAGTATTTTTTGTGTTTCATATCCAGTGGGAAAGTAAAGCTGTGCTACAGAATGAGCCCTTGGTCTTAGATGGAGGTTATGAGAACTGGCTTCTTTGCTATCCCCAGTATACGACAAACGCCAAAGTCATTCCACCGCAACGCAGCAAGAGCGAAGCGGTTTCTTTTTCTCGTATGTATAAAATATCTTCCAAGCAGGGTTAAAAGATCTTTCCTAATCCTGCAGCATTGTGCATGGGTTTCTGTGGAGGAAACTATTGAAATTTGGATTTCTTTGTAATCCCAACTAGAGTAGATCTATCTATTTATAAGTCCCAAATACAGGCAGTTCCTGATTTACAAACATCCAGCTTACAAATGATTCCTAGTTAAGGACGGGGATGAGGCAACAGGAAGTGAAAGAAATCTACCCCTCAGAAGGGAAATTCACTACTGAAAGAGTTATTATGAGAAAAGGGTGTCTCAGCTGAAGCTTTATTATCAGCTATACTTGTTTCCACAACAAGCCAAATTATTCACTATCCAATTCTGACAGGGATAAAAAGTGAGGTGAAATCTTCTGAAGAGGGGCACAGACAGCAAAGGAAACCCCACAGGGGTGTTAACCCTTCCCTATGCTATCTGAAACACACACTCTATTTCTCTCTATATATCTATATAAATAAAAATGTAATGTTCGTTTGTGGGATTAACATAACTCAAAAACCACTGGACAAATTGACACTAAATTTGGACACAAGACACCTATCAGGCCAACAAGTAACCATCACTCATAAAAACACTGAAAAACACAGCAGAAAAGACTTAAAAACTAAAAAATAGATTACAATGCATGCGCAGAACCACATATATACACAAATATATACACACACAAACACATATACACAGACTGCGCTATAGCAACGCGTGGCAGGTGATGGGTAATATACGAGGGGTATTTTTTAAGTCAGGTCCGTTTGAACATAAGTACACAACGAAAGTTTATTTCAAAAAAGTAAATTTATTTTCAGAAAGTACATACTTCACTCTATTTTTCGACATAGTTGCCAAGTTTGTTCAAACACTTATCATACCTCTGAACCAATTTTAAAACACCCTCTTCACGAATCCTCACTTCAACTGAAGCCACCAAATCGTCCGTAATCAAAGAAGGGCGACCGGAGCGGTCCTCATCATGGACGTTGTCACTTAGCACATGTACCTTTCGTTACCCAAATTAAAATAATCATGAGTTTTCAAGTGCAACATCAACCCCGTTTTGGGGCAAGAGTCCCAAAAACTTAAAAATAGCAGTATTTATATAGAAAGGATTAGCTACTGGCATATCTGTATGTATGCAGTGCTCGGAGACAACCACAAGATGGCAGTATATAGATAAACAGAATTAGCTTCTGGCTAATGTGGCCTACAACACAGCCCTGAAGGTCACAGTTGAGACATCCATCCTATAAGGAAGTAAGCAATTTAATGAAGCTTTTTTATTTTGGAAATCGTGTGTGTATGTGTGTGTCCACGTTTGCCCCTTGCACTGAAGCTAAGAGTCTGTCACTTCCAAAAAAGGCAAGATGAAGGAAGAGAAAGGAAAGGGGGGAAAGTGTAAGGAAAGGAAGAGAAAGGAAGGGAAACTGTTCAGCAATCAGGTCATGTCCTTGCTACCTATTAATCTCATCAGATATAAAGGAAAGACCAGGAGCAAAATCAGTTTATGTTGTCCATGTCTGATTGGGATGCTCATGTGACTAGTTTGTTTACTTTTCTTTTCAGTGGATTTTACATATCCGTCTTTGGAAGAACCAATTCCCCCTCCGCTACCTGTTGTTCATGTAAAGCCTTCTGTGGTGGAAGTGACAGAGAGACCAGAACCCCCAAATGATCAGGAAAAGAAATTAGAAGCATTTAAACCACCAGTTTCCGGTGGCTCAGTTGCTGTTGCTTTTAAGGGCGACAGTTCATCTTCCATTGTCTCGCCAGTATCTGCCATGAAGATTATTCCTCAGGTGAGTAAATTTTGACAAGAAATCTTTGCTTAAACCACAACATAATTATACAGGTTTTTTTTTCCTATTTAATGGAGGAACCTGTTTTTTTAAACATCGTACCAGTGGAGAATATATATATATATACGAGGGGTATTTTTTAAGTAAGGTCCGTTTGAACATAAGTACACAACGAAAGTTTATTTCAAAAAAGTAAATTTATTTTCAGGAAGTACATACTTCACTCTATTTTTCGACGTAGTTGCCAAGTTTGTTCAAACACTTATCACACCTCTGAACCAATTTTAAAATACCCTCTTCATAAAAACTTGCCGCCTGCTCCGATAACCAAATAATCTGTAATCAAAGAAGGGCGACCGGAGCGGTCCTCATCATGGACGTTGTCACAGCCATCTTTGAATTGTCATACCCGCTTACGCACTTTGCTTTCACTCATAACAGTATCACCATACACTTCACAAATCTGTCGATGAATTTCTGCAGCAGGTAGGTTCCTTGCTGACAAAAACCGTATCACTGAGCGAACCTCACATGCGGAGGGTGAGTTGAGAGTCTTAAACATTTTCAAAGCACAGAACAGAACCGTACAGGTGAGCTACAGAGCGGAAACTGAGCACAGTTGTTCCCAAGGCATGCTGGTACACGACGCACGTGCTTGTTGCGGTATGCGCGCAAACTACTAGTGTCTACAACAAAACGGACCTTACTTCAAAAATACCCCTCATATTTCAATAATGTATCTATCCTTATACAGGAAATGGGGCATGCTAGCTTTTTCTTCCTTCATGCAGAATGGGAAGTTGAACAAAATAATAACAACTTCCCAATAAAGCATGAATGAGTATAGTTTTATTTATTTATTTACTGTATTTGTATACCGCCTTTCTCAGCCCTCAGGCGACTCAAGGCGGTTAACAGGGCAAAATTCAATGCTTACATTGTCCTAAATGCAATTAAAAACATAACATATAATAAAAACTAACAAATCAGTAAAATATAAATTCATATAAAATATAAAATATATAAAATATAAAATTAAATATAAATTCATATAGAATATAATTTTATATGGTCATGTGTTTGTGGCATACGCAGATTATATTCTTTAATTGTGTTGAAATGTTTCTACAAAAATAAAACCAAATATGAGCAAAAATGACAAAAAGTAAAATTAAAAATATGTCTAAATGAGTTCATATCATGTACAAAAAAAGAGAAGCAGATGGCGGAAACAGAAGAATGGCCTGCCTCAGGGGAGCGTGCTTGCTCCATCCATGTTCAACATCTACACAAATGACCAGCCACTGCCAGAAGGGACAGAGAGTTTCATCTATGCTGATGATCGTGCCATTACCACTCAAGCAGGGAGCTTTGAGATGGTAGAACAGAAGCTCTAGGTGCTCTTACTGCCTATTACAGGGAAAACCAACTGATCCCCAACCCATCTAAAACACAGACATGTGCCTTTCACCTTAAGAACAGACAAGCATCCTGAGCTCTGAGGATTACCTGGGAAGGAATCCCACTGGAGCATTGCAGCGCACCTGGGAGTCACTCTGGACCGTGCTCTGACCTACAAGAAGCACTGCCTGAACATCAATCAAAAAGTGGGCGCTAGAAACAATATCATACAAAAGCTGACTGGCACAACCTGGGGATCACAACCAGATACAGTGAAGACATCTGCCCTTGCGCTGTTCTACTCTGCTGCTGAGTACGCATGCCCAGTGTGAAACACATCTCACCACGCTCAAACAGTGGATGTGGTTCTTAATGAGACATGCCGCATTATCACGGGGTGTCTGCGCCCTACACCACTGGAGAAACTACACTGTTTAGCCGGTATTGCACCACCTGACATCCGCTGGGAAGTAGCAGCCAATAGTGGAAGGACCAAGGCAGTGACATCTCCAGCCCATCCCCTGTTTGGTTATCAGCCAGCACGTCAATGACCTAAATCAAGAAATAGTTTCCTAAGATCTACAGAGACACTCGCTGGAACACCTCAGCAAGCGAGAGTCCAAAAGTGGCAGGCTCAAACCCAGAACCTCAACCAATGGCTGATACCAAATGAGAGACTCCCCCCTGGGCACACAGAGGACTGGGCGACTTGGAAGGCGCTGAACAGACTGTGCTCTGGCACCACGAGATGCAGAGCCAACCTTCAGAAATGGGGTTACAAAGTGGAATCCATGACATGCGAGTGTGGAGAGGAGCAAACCACTGACCACCTGATGCAATGCATCCTGAGCCCTGCCACATGCACCATGGAGGACCTCCTTACGGCAACACCAGAGACACTCCAAGTGGCCAGATACTGATCAAAGGACATTTAATCAACTACCAAGCTTGCAAACTCTGTTTTGTCTATTTGTTAAAAATTTGTTAAAATGTAATACAGTTGTCTGGTTGCTACTGACACGATAAATAAATATGTACAAAATATGCTCTTTAATTGGGTTGAAATGTTTCAACAAAATTAAGACGTGTCAATGATTTTTTTTCAATTGCTCCAGGTTGATCGTACAAAAAAGCCTTCGACAAAAATTCCAGACGGTGATGATAAGCCGAAAGCTGAGAGCCCAGTTATTGGTAAGCTGCCTATTTCAAATGGGAAAGTGGTCCCAGACCGCTCCAAGAAGCCACAATTGGATGCAAAGGTCAGCCTGAGTGAAGAGGAGAAAATCCACATCCCGGGAGAAAACGTTTCTCAACTAGAAAAAAACAGGCAGGAGAAAGAAGTGCAGGAAGAGCAGAAAGAGAAGCCGAAGCAGACAAAGCACGACCAAGAACCAGCGGCTAAAGAGGAGCAAGAAAAGAAGGAAGGCAGAGAAACACTTTTGAATGAAAAAGAGCAGGCCAGTAGAGGAACGGGGGAAAAGCAAGAGATGGAAAAGGCACCGAAAGAATTGACAGAATTTAAAAAGACAAGCAAAATTGTGAGTGAAACTCCTGAAGTGAAAAAAAATGAGAGTGAGAAAGCAAAGGTGACCTGGACGCCGGAAATGCAGAGGCACAAATTTGCAGAGGAGTCCCGTACCTCCGTGAGGGGCGACGCGGTCCCTATCAAGGTGAGTGGTGCCATTCGTGCAAAATTCGCAGCAAAACACTATGACCAAATCCAGGGGGGAAAGTTTGCATTGTGTTCTACACACTGCCGTATCATGGAGCAGTTATGACTTCAGTCAATCATTTATTTTGGTCATAGACCAGCACAGGAAATAGAAATCACTGGGTTGTTGTATGTTTTTTCGGGCTATATGGCCATGGTCTAGAGGCATTTTCTCCTGATGTTTCGCCTGCATCTATAGCAAGCATCCTCAGAGGTAGTGAAGTCTGTTGGAACTAGGAAAGTGGGTTTATATATCTGTGGGATGACCAGGGTGAGACAAAGGATATATAAACCCACTTTCCTAGTTCCAACAGACCTCACTACCTCTGAGGATGCTTGCCATAGATGCAGGCGAAACGTCAGGAGAGAATGCCTCTAGACCAGGGGTCCTCAAACTTTTTGAACAGAGGGCCGGGTCACAGACCCTCAAACTGTTGGAGATCCGGATTATAATTTGAAAAAAATAATAATGAATGAATTCCTATGCATGCTGCACATATCTTATTTGTAGTGCAAAAAACACTTTAAATAATACAATAATTAAAATGAAGAACAATTTTGACAAATATAAACTTAGCAGTTTATAATAAATATAAACCTAGCAGTTTGAAAACATGCAAATGTGAGTAGATCAATAGATACTGCTCTGATGGGAAGGTAACGGCGCTCCATGCAGTCATGCTGGCCACATGACCTTGGAGGTGTCTATGGACAACACCGGCTCTTCGGCTTAGAAATGGAGATGAGCACCACACCCCAGAGTCAGACATGACTGAAATTAAGGTGAGGGGAAAACATTTGCCTGCCGCCTCCACCCTCCCCCCTTCTCCTGCCTCCTGGATGCAGTGAGGCTGCAACCAGAAGGCAGGAGAGGAGGCTGGGCCCGCGGAGACGGCCTGTAAAGCAGGCCCAAGCCGCTTTGCCAGCCGCCTCCCCCCCCCCTTCGCCCGCTGCCTCCCTCCCCCTTCGCCTGCCTCTCACCCTCCCTGCGGGCCGGATAAATGCCCTTAGGGGCCGGATCCGGCCCGTGGGACGTAGTTTGGGGACCCCTGCTCTAGACCATGGCCATATAGCCCGAAAAAACCTACAACAACCCAGTGATTCCGGCCATGAAAGCCTTCGACAATAGAAATCACATTTTCATACAAACTTGGTACGTTTAGTACGTTAAAAATATAAATATAACTACTGAAGCACATTGTGTTTGAGGGAGCGGAAGGGGAAACGGTAAAAACATACATGCACAGATCCATCGCCAAATTGTAGTTAACTTTTGGGACTTATGACTTAGCAGCACCAGCGTGTTATAAAATAAATGCTACATGTAGGAAACTGGTTCACACACCCTGACAAAGAGAGAAGGAAATGCCCCAGTATTTGTTTCCTCTTTGGCTTGGAGGGACATAACAAAATTTTCCTGATACATTGGGTTGCTGTGAGTTTTCAGGGCTGTCTGGCCATGTTCCAGAAGCATTCTCTCCTGACGTTTTGCCCTCATCTATGGCAGGCAACCTTAGAGGTTGAGAGGTCTGTTGGAAACCAGGAAATTGGGGTTTATATATTCATGGAATGTTCAGGGTGGAAGAAAGAACTCTTGTCCACTTGAGTGTGAATGTTGCAATATGGCCACCTTGATTAGCATTGAGTGATCTTGCAGCTTTAAAGCCTGGCTGATTTCTGCCTAAGGGAATCCTTTGTTGGGAGGTGTTAGCTGGCCCTGGTTGATTCATGTCTGGAATTCCTATGTATTCTTTATTTACTGTCCTGATTTTAGCTAGCATATTAGACACTTAAGCTCACTAAATGAATACACCATCAATGAAAGTTTCTCTTTCAACATCTTTTGCAGCAGACTGAGATTAAACACCAAGCAGAAACTCAAAAGCCAGGAGATATTAGCGAAGATACTGAACCAGAGTCTGAAAAAAATAAAGTAAATGCTTTGTGGGGTGTTCTCTGCATAGCGGCGGGAACGTAGAGCAGATGTCATAACGCCACCTTGTTTTATATTCCGTGCCATTTAACAACATTCATGGAACATGGAACCATTTGTGTTAACTTTTCATAAAATACCAGCAAATTCAGTAGATGTGCCAATGCCATTCCATGATACTTCCATAGCTGTGTGTGGTGACTTTTCTGTGTGTTTGTGAAGTAAACAAACCATTTGTAAAGTCAGTTAAGAGTCGCAGAACTTAATCTGGAGCCTTTATGTGCCTTGGTTCCAGAAGGACGGATTTCAGCATGGCCCTGGAATTGAGAAATAAATCATTATGTGTTAAAATTAATGGCAAGTCAAAGTATCTTTTGGGTCTTATTCTTGATCTCTGTCTTCTTTAGTCCCAGCGGGAGCCATTAACAAGAGCACGGAGTGAGGAGATGGGGAGAATTATACCAGGATTGCCTGCTGGCTGGGTTAAAGTGAGTATAATGTCTAATGTTCTGGACTGTTTGTGCTTTGGTTCTCAATTTGCCTTCATTTCTTATTCTGCCAAATATATAGCAAATGATAACATACAACACTCAGTTAACCATTTAAGATTAAGAAGAGAAATGGATTTAAAACTAATATGCATTAGCAGGAGTTGCTTTGCAGGCTATTGAAATAGGTTTCCTAATCAAGTCCTGGTGTATGCGCCTCAAACCATTTAGAAACTTAACAATCAATACCAACACTTTCAATTAGATGTAGAATTTCAATTAGATGTATATCATCAGTTGGGAGCCCCCCTGAGCCCCCACCCCACCCCCACGCCGGCACCAACTCCTTTTCTGGCCAGAGTGAAGAGCGAGGGGGCTACAGTTGAAGACAGTTCCATCTTGTCTCCTGTGATTTACTAATATAAATATAATATATTGTATATAATCATCATCATCTTTATTTATACCCCGCCACCATCTCCCCAATGGGGACTCGGAGCGGCTTACATGTTACAGCAAAATAAAACCAAAACATAAACAACAAGCAACATCATCAAAATTACATAGAAAAAAAGATCTAAATACAGTAAGAAAATAATATTACATTAAACACAATCGCGGTAACAGTAGGGGCAGGCCACATGTACAGGATAAAATGTTAAAAAACTCTAATGAGATAAAAATAGGAGCAAGTTATTTGCAGAGAGTTCATCAAAACACACAGGGTTGTGAAACTAAACTTCCCATTTGGGGGGGGGGGGGGCTTTACTCCAGTGGCAGAAACGTTGAGGGTAGCAATACATATAATATTTATAATAATATATTGTATATACATATCTATATAAATAGAAATGTCATGTTCATTTGTGGGATTAACATAACTCAAAAACCACTGGACGAATTGACACCAAATTTGGACACAAGACACCTATCAGGCCAACGGGTGACCATCACTCATAAAAAACACTGAAAAACACATCAAAAAAGACTTTAAAAGCCAAAAAGCCCCAAAAAATACATTACAATACATGTGCAAAACCATATATATACCAAACACATATATAAACAAATATATACACACACATATACGCATATACACAGACTGGGCCACAGCAACGCGTGGCAGGGGACAGCTAATAATAATAATAATAATAATAATAATAATAATAATAATAATAATAATAATACAATATGATAATTACATATTTTATATTACATGTAATATTACTAATAATATTACAACATAATGGTATAGTACAATATAGTAATATATAATACTGATATTGTACTATGCTAATAATTTAATATATTGTATGTATATATATCTTATAAGCCGTTCTGAGTCCCCTTCGGGGTGAGAAGGGCGGCATATAAATGTTGTAAATAAATAAATAAATAGAAACAAACAGGGAAAGTTAAGCAGTTGTATATTGTAATTGTGTGAGATAGTGCATGTTAAGAACTTAATTGCCCAAGTTTGGAATAGTAGTAGTAGTAGTAGTAGTAGTAATAATAATAATAATAACAATAATAATATACTTTATTTATGTTCCGCCCTATCTCCCCGAGGTGACTCAAGGTGGATTAAAGTATACATATACGGCAAACATTTAATGCCATTATAGAATTAACAAAGACAGACAGCACATAAACAGAGGTAAAGGCTTCCCATCTTTTTCCATCTCTGGCATCTGGAGGCTGTGCTCAACTCCGGCCATCTTCCATTTCGAGGAGTTTTATTGTTTTCAGATACTCTCTCAATCTAATCGCTGGCATGTCCGCATGGGTACCTTTTATTACCTCCCTACCAAAGTGTAGCTATTCACGAGGGCTGAATAAAAAGTAATGCCTCCACCTTCATAACTCCTCAACAGATAGTACTGGTATGTGGCAGGTACTGGCTTGTTCAGTAGACTCTCCTCTACAGTTCCATTTTGGCCAGAAGCCTTAGCGTTGAACGGTTGTGTTGTTAAAGTGCAAAATATGGAACCCTGTGCAGACGGTCAGTCCATGCGACTTAAGCAATCAGAAGCATTGAATTCTTGGCAGCAGGAGGTGTCACCTCAACATTTTTAAACTTATTTGCCCAACAACGCACAGTACTCACATCAGCACAATCACCATGAACAGCTTGCATTCTCTGATGAATCTCCTTTGGGGTGACACCTTCTGCTGTCAAGAATTTAATGACTGCACGTTGCTTAAGTCTCATTGACTGACTGTCACATTGTTGGCTTATATTTAACTTGTTGTTCATGAGGACTCCAAGATCTTTTTCACACATATTGTTCCTTCTTAAATTGTTTTCAAAAGCAGCTGTACATTTATTACACTTTAGTATTTCAAATCAAGATTTTGGAAGTCAGATCTAATGTTTCCTCTCCCTCCCCCCTTTTTTGTGCACATGTCATTTGAAGTTTCTTGATCCAATTACCGGGACTTTCCGTTACTACCACTCTCCGACCAACTCAGTTCATATGTATCCACCGGAAATGACCCCGTCGGCCACTCCACCTTCTACCCCTCCGACTCATAAACCCAAACCTCGGGCTGCGGATCAGCGGGAGAGAGAACACTCCAAACTGAAGCGCTCATACTCCTCGCCAGACATAACCCAGGCCGTCCAGGAGGAGGAGAGGAAGAAAGTCACCATCACCCCCACCATCAATCGTGAGAATAAGTATGTCTTCTGCAGACATTCTCATTTGTGTTGTTTATTTATTTTTTTGTCTCTAAGCTGACTGCTAAAAATTTAACTTTTTAATATAAGATACCAAGAAATATAGATGTTGTAGATCACCCAGAGGCTGATAGTTTAATTCAGGGGTCCTCAAACTAAGGCCCAGGGGCTGGATACGGCCCTCAAGGTCATTTACCTGGCCCTCGCTCAGGGCCAACCTAATTTATTTTATTATTTATTTACCATATGTGTATACCCAAGTCTGTAATGACTTGAAAGCATACAACAACAGCAACAACAACCCTATCTCATCAGCCAAAAACAGGCCCACATTTCCCATTGAAATACGTATACGTTTATATTTGTTTAAATTGTTCTTCATTTTAATTATTGTATTGTTTTAAAGGGTTTTTTGCACTACAGATAAGATATGTGCAGTGTGCATAGGAATTCATGCATGTTTTTTTCAAATTATAATTCGGCCCTCCAACAGTTTGAGGGACTCTGACCTGGTCCTCTCCTTAAAAAGTTTGAGGATCCCTGGTTTAAATGATGATCCTACTTTTTGCTTGATACTCAAGTAGTGCTTCCTGTAAGTCAGAGCATGGTCCAGGGTGACTCCCAGTTATTTTGGTGTGCTGTAATGCTCCAGTGGGATTCCTTCCCAGGTCGTCCTCAGAGCCCGACATGCTTGTCTGTTCTTAAGATGAAAAGCACACGTCTGTGCTTTAGATGGATTAGGAATCAGCTGGTTTTCCCTGTAATAGGCAGTAAGAGCACCTAAAGCTTTGGAGAGCTTATGTTCAAAGCTCCATGCTTGAGCGGTGATGGCATGATCGTCAGCATAGATAGACTCTCTGTCCTTTCTGCAAGTGGCTGATCATTTGTGTAAATGTTAAAATCATAATCATAAACTTTTTAAAAAGTTAACCAAACTTTTAAAAAAGTTAACATTATTCTAGCATTATTGTTTTCCTTTTTCAGACCAGTAAGCTATCCCAAAGCTGAAATCTCAAGGCTTTCTGCATCTCAGATTCGTAATCTCAACCCTGTCTTTGGGGGAATGGGACCAGCGCTCACAGGCCTTCGAAATTTAGGAAATACTTGCTATATGAACTCCATCTTACAATGCCTGTGTAATGCCCCACATCTAGCGGATTACTTCAACAGAAATTATTATCAAGTTGATATCAACCGGTAATATTTTTTTATATTGTATTGAGTTGGTTTCATTGATTTACGCTTGACTGCAGAACTTGTTATTGCAACATGTCTATTAAGATGGGTCTCTAGTGAAATTCTAATTTTTTTAAGGTTATTTAGGTAACCTTTTTTCTCAACATGGAACTTAAGTGTGTTTCTGTATACCTAGTGAGGTGTTATCCAGCACTTAAGATAGCATATCTCATCATGAACTTTGAAAAAAATCCTGTTAATTATCAGGATTAGAGTGACTGTGAAGGATTGAAGAAATGTTGAGATTTTTTGCAGTTAAATCCGAATGAACAAACTAGTGAACGAGTAGTTGTTCTACTCCAGAAACTTTGTTTTTGTGGCTGCCACAAATTATGTTGAATTGGTTGAGATTATGAAATATTCATTGAAAAATGTGCTGCAGGATGTCCTACAAAAAAACAATGTTTTTTGCAGTTTAGTAAACTTTTCCCATTTTTTTTAATGATGGAACCAATCAGGAAATGACATTTTGTAACCGAGGAACAAACATTGTGTTGCATAGTGTTATTAGGGTTGATATTATTGTTTTAAATTGGTATGGAAACATTATTTATTTATTTGCGGTATTTATATGCCGCCCTTCTTACCCCAAAAGGGACTCAGAGCGGCTTACAAGATATATTATACATATAATATATTACATTATTAGCATAGTAGACTATCAGTATTATATATTACTATATTGTACTATACCATTATATGGTAATATTATTATTAATATTACATTTAATATAAAATATATAATTATAACATCATATTATTGTTAGTATTATATTGCATTACATTATAATAGAAATATTTTATGCATATACAATATATCATATTACATTACATTACATTATTAGCATAGCAGAGGAGACAAGGTAGAACTGTCTCCTGGCCCCCTCTCTCTTCACTCTGGGCCAGAACAGCAGTTGGTGCTGGGGGGAGGGGTCCCCAACTGATGACATATGCAGGAGATAAGATGGAACTGTCCCCTGGCCCCCTCTCTCTTCACTCTGGGCCAGAACAGCAGTTGGTTTTATTTTAATGAAAATATTATCATAGAAGTGTGCGCATTAGCATAATAACTTAGAAACCCTTCTCCAAATTTGAAGGACCCTCCCAAGAAAATTGAAATAATTATTTGACGTAGTATAGTTCTTTAAAGCTTGAGTTAAGTCTTGGGGGTCTGTGGCTGCAAAAGGTATTAAAAGGGGAGGGGTCCATTGCGAAGTAAAGGTTGAGAATCACTGTTGTAAAGCCCTGAATAGCTAGAATAAGTATTCTCCAGTATTGGTGAAATATAGACTCATAATTCTTGTAGAATTAAAGTTTCGTATTTTTTTCTGCCTTAAAAGCATCAGCCGTCAAGATTTTGTGTCAATTGCAGGTCAAATTTCCTGGGGCACAAAGGTGAGGTGGCGGAGGAGTTTGGCATCATCATGAAAGCCCTCTGGGCTGGACAATACCGATATATCAGTCCCAAAGACTTCAAGATGACCATTGGGAAGATCAATGACCAATTTGCAGGGTACAGTCAGCAGGACTCTCAAGAGCTGCTTTTGTTTTTGATGGATGACCTCCATGAAGACTTGAATAAAGTAAGTTTTGTTGCACAATTCATCGGAAGAGGAGAATTGCAAAGCAGTGGCACAAGGCTTCACACATTGCCCCAAACCACACACTGAGTAAGCAGAGCACAACACTCTTCTCCATGCAGAGTTACATATTCTCTCTGTGACAATTTTATAGAATGCCAATGAGATCAACTTTCAGGAACTCGAGTTGAGACGGCTATAGAGTACTTCTATGTATCTTGTCTCCTGTGCTATGCTAATAATATAATATATCGTATATACATATAATATTTATAATATTATAATGTAATACAATATAATACTACTAATAATATTACAATATAATGGTATAGTACAATATAGTAATATATAATACTGATATTGTCTATGCTAATAATATAATATATTGTATGTATATGCATCTTGTAAGCCACTCTGAGTCTCCTTTGGGGTGAGAAGGGTGGCATATAAATGTCGTAAATAAATAATTAAATTCTAAAGAGGATCACTGTTCCACTTTCCCATCCATGCACTAGCCCTGGAACTTCTGTTGTCAGCAGAATATTGACTTTTCTTCCTCTTAAGTCTCTATTTAGAGGGGTTTTAACTGACCATCATAGAATCATAGAGTTGGAAGAGACCACGTGGGCCATCCAGTCCAACCCCATTCTGCCAAGAAGCAGGAAAATCACATTCAAAGCACCCCCGACAGATGACCATCCAACCTCTGTTTAAAAACCTCCAAAGAAGGAGCCTCCACCACACTCCAGGGCAGAGAGTTCCACTGCTGAACAGCTCTCACAGTCAGGAAGTTCTTCCTAATGTTCAGGTGGAATCTCCTTTCCTGTAGTTTGAAGCCATTGTTTTGCATCCTAGTCTCGGGGGCAGCAGAAAATAATAATAACAATAATAATAGCAATAATAATAAAAAACATTATTTATATGGGAAGTCTGACTTGGCCACGGTGGTCCACGCTCTGGTTACATCCCGTATAGACTACTGCAACGCTCTCTACGCGGGGTTGCCTCTGAAGACTGCCCAGAAGCTGCAATTAGTCCAACGAGTGGCAGTCAGATTACTAACAGGAGCGGGGTATAGGGAGCATACTACTCCTCTGTTGTGCCAGCTCCACTGGCTGCCAATTAGCTTCCGAGCACAATTCAAAGTGCTGGTGCTGACCTATAAATCCCTAAACGACTCCGGCCCAGTTTACCTGTCGGAACGGATTCTCCCCTATGAACCATCAAGGTTGTTAAGATCTTCTGGAGGGGCCCTGCTCTCAGTCCCACCACCCATCGCGTCTGGTGGGGACAAGGGAAAGGGCCTTCTCGGTGGTGGCCCCTTGACTGTGGAACTCTCTCTCGCTGGAGATTAGATCTGCCCCTTCTCTCCTGACTTTAAGAAAGCTAGTGAAAACTTGGCTTTGGAATATGGCATTTGATGATTGAGTCAATAACTCTTGACCACACAGATGGATGGTGATGAATTGTGATTTCATTTTGACGACCTGGCCTTATGTAATTATATGATTGCATTTTAATGTATTTTATGTATTAGTGTATTATGGGGTGTGGTGTTTTAAACTATTGTTTATGAATCTTTTGTTGTGAACCAGCCTGAGTCCCTCTTCGGAGGTTGAGAAGACCAGTATATAAAACTTCTAAATAATAAATAAATAAATAAATACCCCACCACCATCTCCCCAAAGGGGACTCGGAGCGGCTTACATGAGACCAAGTCCAGCGATACATTACGGCAACATAAAATATAAACAACAAAATAACATCACAATAAGATAAATAAACCAATCAAGTAAAATAAACAGTACAAAATAACATATTGGAAATAAAACACAGTGGGCGGGCCAAATGCACGACATAAAATGATAAAACTCTGGATGAGATAGCAATGAAAAGGTACATTTGTGGGGGAGGAGCTCTGCTTCCTCCTTCCTATGACTTCCCTTCACATATTAATACATGGCCCTCATATTGTCTCCTCTCAACCTTCTCTTCTTCAGCTTAAACATGCACAGCTCTTTAAGCTGCTCCTCATAGGGATGCTCCAAGAGTCAGTTGAATAGATCTTAGAAATGTCTGCATGGGTGGTAGTATTGCTTCCCTTCTGTCGTTCCATAGCAACACGTAACGCCTGTAAGCCACAACTGTGGTTAAACCATTTTAATTGTCCTAACTTGGCAGGCCGACAACAGAAAGCGTTACAAAGAGGAGAACAACGACGACCTGGACGACCCCAAAGCGGCCGACTTGGCGTGGCACAAGCACAAACAGCTCAACGAGTCCATCATCGTGGCGCTTTTCCAAGGCCAGTTCAAGTCCACGGTGCAGTGCCTGACCTGCCATAAAAAGTCTCGGACCTTCGAGGCCTTTATGTATTTGTCCTTGCCGCTTGCGTCCACTAGCAAATGCACGTTGCAGGTGAGTGGTTACGAACAAAGTGAAGGCAATGGCAAACCATTTCTCACTGGTATTTCTTGGAAATGATGCTGTATTTTCAATCAATAAGATGGGTTTAGAGCAGGCCTGGGCAAACTTGGTCCTTCTGGGTGTTTTGGACTTCAATTCCCACTATTCCTAACAGCCTCAGGCCCCTTCCTTTTCCCCCTCAGCCGCTTAACATGAAAATAAGAAATTACTGTATATACTCGAGTATAAGCCTAGTTTTTCCGCCCCCTTTTTAGGCTGAAAAAGTTCCCCTCGACTTATACTCGAGTCAAAGTTATTTATTACTTTACTTTGTTATTAGTATCATTTTATTACATGAATTATTTTAATATATTAATTATTATTATTATATTTACATTATTTTACTCTACAGTATTATTATTTTATTACATGTATTATTTTACTCTATTTATTATTAATATTATTATTTATTTACTCTTTATTATTATTGCATTGATTATTTTACTTTATTTTTATTGTTACTGCATTTATAATTTTACTCTGTTATTACTGTTATTACATTTCCATTATTTTACTCTATTATTATTATCCTGACACAAAAACACAGTATGACACAGCAAATGAGGTATATATGCTGGATTTCACTATTATTATTATTATTATTATTATTATTATTATTATTATCCTGACACAAAAACACAGTATGATACAGCAAATGACATATATATGCTGGATTTCATTATTATTATTATTATTATTATTATTATTATTATTATTATTATTATTTTACTGTATTATTATTGGAGGGATACATAAGCACATTTACACTGAAGATTAGAATAATGATTTAATCAGAACTGGACGGTCTTAAATTACAGTTTTATGTAAATATTCAAAAACATTTAACCTACTGATGCCTCAATTAATGCAATTTTATTGATATCTATTTTTATTTTCAAATTTACCAGTAACTGCTGTATTTCCCACCCTCGGCTTATACTCGAGTCAATAAGTTTTCCCAGTTTTTTGTGATAGAATTAGGTGCCACAGCTTATATTCGGGTCGGCTTATACTCGAGTATATACGGTACTTTAAAAATACTTTGGTGAAGATCTGGGGCCTCACTAGGAGCCTCACTTTTTGATTGTTAAACATACTAGAAAAAGGATTAAGAACCCAAAAACATTCACATCCCTACCTCAGGCTGTATATATATATTTCCTTTTCTCTAGGAGTGCTTTAGATTGTTCTCCAAAGAAGAAAAACTGACAGATAACAATAGATTTTACTGCAGTCATTGCAAAACCCGAAGAGACTCTTTGAAAAAAATAGAGATTTGGAAGCTGCCGCCTGTGCTTTTAGTTCATTTGAAAAGGTAAGGTCGAGAGTTGTGTGGGAGTTATGTTGGAAAATACATACAAACATATCTTCACTGTTTATTATATGTATAGAAGATAAGATTATTTAATTATTCTTGATAGTAGGTCCCACAGTGTGTCATTTTAATGCATTTTGCCGCATCCCTAGGTTTTCCTACGACGGACGATGGAAGCAGAAGCTTCAGACGTCGGTGGATTTCCCCCTGGAAAGTCTTGACCTGTCGCAATACGTTATTGGCCCAAAGAGTAACTCAAAGAGATACAACCTGTTTGCTGTATCTGTAAGTAGTAGGCTTGTTTGAAAAAAAAATGGTTCAAAACTCTTTTCGGATGTAGTAGTTCAATTCTAAAGTAAATTCAGATTTTCACAGAAAAAAATGTTCAAAACTTTTCGAAACTTCCGAGATTTCCGAACCCTTTCGTTAATGGTTTGAAGGTGTTATTTCCTGTTTCATTGGGTGGTCTTTACTTTCAAAGTAGTTATTTTACTCCAGAAGCGGGGGGAAAGCAAGCGGAGGAAATTCCTTCCTTCTCTGGTTTAAAACTGGCTTCTCTGGCTTAAGCTGAGGCCAGGAAATTCCTTCCTTTTCTGGTTTAATACTGGTTTCTCTGGCTTGAGCCGAGGCCAGGGACCAGAAGTCGGGAAAAGCAAATGGAGGAAATTCCTTCTCTGGTTTAAAACTGGCTTCTCCGGCTTTAGCCAAGGCCAGGAAATTCCTTCTTTTTCTGGTTTGAAACTGGCTTCTCTGGCTTGAGCCGAGGCCAGGAAATTCCTTCCTTTTCTGGTTTAAAACTGGCTTCTGTGGCTTTAAAACCGGCTTCTTTGGCTTGAGCTGAGACCAGAAAATTCCATCCTTTTCTGGTTTAAAATTGGCTTCTCTGGCTTAAGCAGAGGCCAGGGATCAGAAGCAGGAAGCAGGAAAAAGCAAATGGAGGAAATTCTTTCCTTCTCTGGTTTAAAACTGGCTTCTCTGGCTTGAGCTGAAGCCAGGAAATTCCTTTTCTGGTTTAAAACTGGCTTCTCTGGCTTTAAAACTGGCTTCTCTGGCTTGAGCCGAGGCCAGGGACCAGAAGCGGGGAAAAGCAAGTGGAAGAAATTCCTTCTCTGGTTTAAAACTGGCTTCTCTGGCTTGAGCTGAAGCCAGRAAATTCCTTTTCTGGTTTAAAACTGGCTTCTCTGGCTTTAAAACTGGCTTTTCTGGCTTGAGCCGAGGCCAGGGACCAGAAGCGGGGAAAAGCAAGTGGAAGAAATTCCTTCTCTGGTTTAAAACTGGCTTCTGTGGCTTGAGCCGAGGCCAGGGACCAGAAGCGGGGAAAAGCTGAATCATTTCTGACTCGTTTCATGAGTTGTAACAAAAATGGCAAAAAAAAAAAAAAAAGCAAAGGGACTTCTGGTTTTCTTAAAAACTTTGAAATCGCTTCAAAAAGGTAATTTTTCCGACTTTATTCTGAATTACAGAGATTCTAACGGTACTTAAACATGCCTAGTTAAGTAGCAGTGCATAGGCTTCAAATTCACTTGTTAAAATATCAGTAATCTACCCAAAATATCAGTAATCTACCCAAAATACGTACCTGTCCGAACGTATCTCCTTCTACGTCCCACCTCGGAGTTTAAGATCTGCTGGGGAGGCCCTGCTCTCGGCCCCACCTTTATCACAAGCGAGACTGGTGGGGACGAGGGACAGGGCCTTCTCGGTGGTGGCCCCTCGCCTGTGGAATGCACTCCCGGGGGAGATTAGGTCATCAACATCCCTCCTTGCTTTCAGAAGGAAGCTAAAAACCTGGATGTGGGACCAGGCCTTCGGGTAAGCTGGCAGATGGACAAAGACAACCAATGACGACCAGAGTAGGAAAGGATAATGACGATGCTAGATGGATTACGGACTATGAATTGGCGAACATTGACCACAGAATGATTCTATTGCTGCTAGTATACTGTTTGATTGTTTTAATTAGTTATAATTGTTGACATTATATGGTAAATTTGTGTATTGTTTATTGTATATTGTACTGTATTTTGTGAATTGCTAGGCATCGAATTGTGCCTTTTGTAAGCCGCCCTGAGTCCCCCCTAGGGGGTTGAGAAGGGCGGGGTAGAAGCACCCCAAATAAATAAATAAATAAATAATGAAAATTAAGGAACGTGATCCTTATTTTTCAATACTGGAGAAATTAGGCCAAAAGAAGGTATTCTGTTTCCCTAATTCCCTTCCTCTCCTCCGTAGAACCATTATGGAGGGCTGGACGGAGGGCACTATACCGCCTATTGCAAAAACGCTACCAAGCAGCGCTGGTATAAGTTCGACGACCACGAAGTCTCGGAGATCTCCACTTCCTCCGTGAAATCCTCAGCCGCCTATATCCTCTTTTACACGTCTCTTGAACAGCGAGCCCTTGATGCAGCGACATAAAAGAAACCTTTCAGGAATTATTGGCCTTCTTTTATAAATGCACCGTAGCAACTGGAGCTGGGATTGAAATATACCGTTTCCTGTCTCGACCGGGCGACGGCTGCAGCCGTTTTTCAGCTAAGATTATCTATTAGTGTTACTGCTTTCAGTCTGAAAACCAAATGGGTAATAACTCTGCTGCTTTATACTGAACAGTTTGTTTCCCAAATAACTTATTTTAGCGATGCTCCCAAAATGGTAACTCTAGCTATAACTGTCTGGGTTTAAGACGTCTGGAAGCCCAAAGCATATCTCTTTTATTTTCTCCCCTCCCACATTTATGGCCTTTTCACACTAACCTTAAGCTTGATTCTACTACTGTGAATATCTTAGGGTGATGTCAGCAGGTAGGAATGTATGTGTACATAATCGATTGCAGACTTGCACATCCAAACTCTGTATATAATAAAAAAAGATATTGTGGTCCTCTTGAGAACGACTAGAATATGGCGAGGGTTGCGCCGTCTAAATCCTTGCGTCCTTTTATGTAGCAAAGAGCAGAGCTGTATTTTTTCTGTTTTGAGCAATTATAGTCTCTATCTGCACACCTTCGGTCTGTGGTCTAGAAGAGGACCTTTCCTTTTTAACTTTTTAATATAAGAGTTTCATGTACTCCTGTATTTAAAAAAAATACCTTATTGAAACGACTAATTATTTGAAAAATACAATGGCCTGTTAAAACCTTTGTCTGTCTGTTTTGGGCTTAAATAAGAAACCCAAGAACCACATTTCTTTCCCCTTTTTTGCAGGTTTATTTTATTTATTTAAATTTAAATTATACATAACCATCATTTCATTCCCTTCTCCCTCCCCTCCCCATTCCATTCCCTGTTGACAACATAATCCTTTTGTTTCCCATTTCATGCGCCTTCTTTCCATTCTATCAATTTTTTCTTCCAGCTTTCATCATCTGATTTAACAACTTGTAACCATCTGTTAAATGGAGTCCAAAATTCTTTAATTTTTTTCTGTTTGTCTGACTTTTTTTGCTTCTTATGATGTCCATAATATCCAGTTATATTTGGTCCCACACATATTCATACCATTTCTCAAGCATCCATATATTTTCATCTTTCCACCCCCAAGCTATTACTGTCAAGACCCAGAAGCCTCAAGAATGCCAAACACAGTATAAAAGGTCCAAACAAAGGTTTATTAAACACAAAAAAGGCTTAGAGACACTTAACTCAGTGCCTCTAGCACAAACTAAGAGTCTATAGCAGTGTTTCTCAACGTGGGGGTCGGGACCCCCGTGGGGGTCGCGAGGGGGTGTCAGAGGGGTCGCCAAAGACCATCAGAAAACAGTATTTTCTGTTGGTCATGGGGGTTCTGTGTGGAAAGTTTGGTCCAATTCTATCATTGGTGGGGTTCAGAATGCTATTTCATTGTGGGTGAACTATAAATCCCAACAAACAACTCCCAAATGGCAAGGTCTATTTTCTCCAAACTCTACCAGTGTTCACATTTGGGCATATTGAGTATTTGTGCCAAGTTTGATCCATATCCATCATTGCTTGAGTCCACAGTGTTCTTTGGATGTAGGTGAACTACAACTCCAAAAAACTCAAGGTCAATGTTTACGAGACCTTCCCAGTATTTTCTCTTGCTCATGGGCATTTTGTGTGCCCAGTTTGATTCAATTCCATCATTGGTGGAGTTCAGAAGGCTCTTTGATTTTAGGTGAACTATAAATCCCAGCAACTCCAGCCTTACCAAATGACAAAATCAATCACCTCCAACCTCACCAGTAATCAAATTTGGGCGTATTGGATATTTGTGCCAAATTTGGTCCAGTGACTGAAAATACATCCTGCATATCAGATACTTAGATTACGATTCATAACAGTAGCAAAATTACAGTTGTGAACTAGTGGTTGGGGGTCACCACAACATGAGGACCTGTACTAAGGGGTCGTGGCATTAGGAAGGTTGAGAACCACTGGTCTATAGCAACCGCTAAGCAAAAAACACAACTTAAATATAATCTGGATTATTCTGGAGTATAATCTGGGATAACAAAAAGTTACAGCAATCTGCTTGAAATTCAAAAGGTCCAAAAAGTACAAGAAAACAAGGTGGGAGCATGCAAAATCGAAGTCCGAAGTCCAGCCACGTCCAAAATGAGATGAAGCAGTCCAAAAAGCGAAGTCATAATCAAAACACAGTCCAGAGTCAAAAGGGGAGGTTGAAATCGGGACTTACGGAGTTCCAGCCAGAAGTCACGGAAATGCAGAGATCTGTAGTCCAAGGACCCAAACTTGAGAGTAATGGCAGTAACAAAGATCCAAACCCAATAAGACACTTTGCCTTCTGCAAAAACCCACTGAATTCAAACCCACTTATATCCTATAACTCCTCCTCAGAGGATGAACTGCTCCCCACCCTTTCATCATCACTTTCAGCTGCCCCATTCCCTGCAGCTGAACACCGAAGCCCATCCCTCCACCTTTGCCAGCATCTGTCAAGACTTGGGTCCTCCCAAGTGTTCCCAGATTGCCAGTCCCCCCTCAAAGTCATCACTGGAGGTAGGCTGAGTACAGATGTCCCTACTCTCCTACACACGGGTCCAGTCTAAAGCATCCTCCTCCCCATCGTCACTCCCAGTCCCATCACTCCTTTCAAAACCCACAAAGTCTTCATCTTCTGTTGGACGCTTCCTTTGGATCTCCTCATCTGATTCTTGTTCTCGAGTAGCCCGCTTAACTCCCCTGCTTTCCTCTCCTTCCCCCATTTCACAATCTGAGAAACCCTCGAAGGACTCGGAATCAGTTGGAGCCATGAATATGTCTCTAATCCGCTTTCACTGCTGCTCCTCCTCCAACACCTGCGCAGCCCTCTTCTCCTTTCTACCAGTAATAGTAACACTGTAGTACAACAATTACCACGTGTGATGCTCTAAACATCATCATAATCAATTCTTGATCTTAGTCCTTAATTCATGCATCACCATATACGAGGGTTGAATGAAAAGTAATGCCTCCACCTTCGTTACTTGGGTTTAGATGGGAATATTTTAATAAATCAAATGCAGAAAGAATCCTTAGAATGTGCTCTTTAACTACCACTATTCACTTTTCCGCATAATCACCAGACAATTGGATACCTTTCTGCCAACGATGAACAAGTTTTCTGAAGCCGTCACGGAAGAAGTCGACACTCTGTTTCCGCAAGCAGCATCTCACAGTTCTCTCATCCTGGGTACCCATCATGCACACATCTTCCGATAGCCAAGCAAAGCAATAATGTGAACCACATGTTCTTGCAAAATGCCAATTATGCTTGAAATTTCTCTCTGAGTGATGCAACAATTGTCCTGAATCAATCTGTCAACCTTTTGCTTGTGAAACTCGGTGGTTGCTGTCACATGACGTCCAACTCTTCGTTTGTCACGCAAGTCAGATGTTCCCACCTCAACGTCCTTAAACTTACTCATCCAACAACACACAGTACTCACATCAACACAATCACCATGAACAGCTTGCATTCTCTGATGAATCTCCTTTGCGGTGACACCTTCTGCTGACAATTCAATGACTGCACATGGCTTAAGTGTCATTGACTGACCGTCTGCTCAGGGTTCCATACTTCGCACTTTAACAACACAACTGTTCAATGCTAAGGCTTCCCGCCAAAATGGAACTGTAGAGGAGAGTCTACTGAACAAGCCAGTACCTGCTGCATACCAGTACTGCCATCTGTTGAGTTATGAAGGGGGAGGCATTACTTTGCATTTAACCCTCGTATCCCTATTAACAAAATTTGCATATTTATATCAAATTTTATTTTGGTAGGTGATTCTACCTGGCTTAAAATTTGATTCCAGAATTTTTGTATCTCCCCCCTCTCCCACCATAGATGTGCATACCATGCTTCTCGAATCATGTGCCAGCTGAATTGGTGTTCTACACCATTTCGTTATTATTTTCAGTTTAATTTTGTTATTATTTTCACTGCTGCGGAAATTGCAGGAGACCATCGAAACCAAGAGGCAATGTGGCATGCTCACCAAAGGTGTCTGCCTTCTGCAACACAATGCACCAGTTCACAACCCACATGATGCCCAAATGGAATGCTCTTGTGGCTTTGAAATTCTACTGCATCTCTCTTATTCACCCACCTTGCACCATTGGACTTCCACCTCTTTCCGATAATGATGTTGTTTTTGAAGGACAAGCATTTTTCAGATGACGAGACTCTGATTTCTGAAGTCACAACATGGCTTTTGGAGCAACTTGTCGACTTCTACAAGTGAGGTGTTTACAGTTGCTTAAAATGATGGGAGAAGTGCGTGTCCCTGGGTGGCACCTATGGAGAGGAGGACTCATAACTGTGCCAAGTTTCATTGCTCTCAGTCTACAGGAAGGGGGTCAGGGGAAATCTTTAATGAACACCCCTTGTATCTCCAATCCTTGTTTCAGTGACAAGCCCAATATTTTCAAAATCCAGTTGTGACAAGGAGAGAAAGAGAGGGGCAATCTGAACAGGAACATATACAGCAAAAGAAACGTTTCATGGCTGCTGTCCCTTCCCTATGCAACTAAAAACTTTAAAAATATATCTGTCCCAACATGCATATGAATTCAACATAAGGACAGACTTACAGAACCTATTTTGTCTGTAACCTAGGGGTCAGAATCCTCTGGAGTCACAGTAATATAGATGATGATGATTTGAAGATGAGTCCACAGTCTGCTGGCTGTTGTATTGGATCACACGTTGGACACTTCCTAATTGTCTAGGACTGTGTGATGTATCGGCAAATGATGCATGCAGTTCCCAATAAGGTGGCCTTTTGCAACTGGCAGATGGTAATTTTGTCAGCGCCGATTGTGTTTAAGTGCAGGCCAAGGTCTTTAGGCACTGCACCCAGTGTGCCCATCACCACTGGAACCACCTTGACTGGTTTGTGCCAGAGTCTTTGCAGTTCAATCTTTAAATCCTCATATCATGTCAGCTTTTCCAGTTGTTTCTCTTCAATCCTGCTGTCGCCTGGGATTGCAACATCGACAATTCATACTCTTTTTTTTTTTTTTTACACGATTGTGAGGTCAGGAGTATTGTTCTCCAGAATTCTGTCTTATCTAAATTCAGAAGTCCCAGAGTGGCTTCACGTGTTCATTCTCCAACTTTTTCCTGCTTGTGATCCCACCAGTTCTTTGTCACAGGCAGATGGTGTTTGTGGAACAAGTTCCAATGAATCATCTGAGCAACGGTGTTATGCCTCTGCTTGTAGTCTTTCTGCACGATCTTCTTGCAGCAGCTGAGGATGGGATCTATTTCATCTGCTTCCTTGCAGAGTCTACACTTGGGATCTGTCGTTGACTTTTCAATTCTGGCTTTGGATGGCATTGGTTATTATTATTATTATTATTATTATTATTATTATTATTATTATTATTATCCATGCATGCCTGGAAATACACCTATCTATGTAATAGATACCCTACGCACACATATTTTGCATGGACACTATACTTTCATACATACACAGAAATACATACAGACACACCGCTGCCTTCTCCATATAACATTCAACTCTGCAAGAAGAAAACATCACCTCGGCTATCTTGGATTTTTGCAGTAATTAAAATAAATCTTCAATTCTAGCTGCCCAGGAAGAATTTATTTAGCTCAAAGTGTACCACATGCTGCGAAAGCTTACTGACAATGTGTTCCCAACCAGCATCCACTCGTTTCTGTTTTCGTTTTTTTCCAATGAGGAAAGAAGTGGTACGGACGCCAGCGTCTAAATCGCCAAGTGTGGCCCAAAACGCAGCTGTTCTTCTGCGATGAAGGACCAAAGGTTCGGCCAAGTCAGTGAATATTTGCCCAGTGTCAATGTGTCTTAAGTCATGGTTTCTTAGCCATTCTGGTTTTTAACCGGCACAGAGAAAGTTTGGTTGTTGTAAAACAGGAGATAAGCTGCAGATGTTTGTATATCAGGCTCTGAAATCTCGCTGATCTGAGAGTCATCGAAGCTGTACCAGCTTTGGCTCGGCGTGTGTTTACAGAACGCGGTGTAATGGCCGCCATCCAGGTCTCCGAAGTGATTCTGCAACGACAGCAATACAGTGGGTTGTCAAAGGCTTTCATGACCAGAATCACTGGGTTGCTGTGAGGTTTCCGGGCTGTATGGCCATGTTCCAGAGGCAATATAATATATTTTATATACATATAGGTAAAAAAGGGTAACGGTTTTCCCCTGACATTAAGTCCAGTCGTGTCCGACTCTGGGGTGTGGTGCTCATCTCCATTTCTAAGCCAAAGAGTTGGCATTGTCCGTAGACACCTCCAAGGTCATGTGGCCGACATGACTGCATGGAGCGCTGTTACCTTCCTGCCAAGTGGTACCTATTGATCTACTCACATTTGCATGTTTTCAAACTGCTAAGGTTGGCAGAAGCTGGGGCTGACAACAGAAGCTCATGCCACTCCCCAGATTTGAACCTGTGTCCTTTCGGTCAACAAGCTCAGCAGCTCAGTGGTTTAACCCACTGTGCCACAGGGTGCTCCCTATATGCATATAATATTTATAATATTACTAGCCGTCCCCTGCCACACGTTGCTGTGGCCCATATGAGGGTTCTGTGTGGGAGGTTTGGCCCAATTCTATCGTTGGTGGGGTTCAGAATGCTCTGTGATTGTAGGTGAACTACAAATCCCAGAAACTACAACTCCCAAATGTCAAGATTAATTTCCCCCCAAACTCCACCACTGTTCACATTTGGGCATATTGAGTATCCATGCCAAGTTTGGTCCAGATCCATCATTGTTTGAGTCCACAGTGCTCTCTGGATGTCGGCGAACTACAACTCCAAAACCAAAGGACACTGCCCACCAAACCCTTCCAGTATTTTCTGTTGGTCATGGGAGAACTATGTGCCAAGTTTGGCTCAATTCCATCATTGGTGGGGTTCAGAATGCTCTTTGATTGTAGGTGAACTATAAATCCCAGCAACTACAACTCCCAAATGACAAAATCAGTTTTTTGAGTGAAGGACATACATTGGGTTGTTAGGTGTCTTGTGTCCAAATTTGGCATCAATTCGTCCAGTGGTTTTTGAGTTACATTAATCCCACAAACGAACATTACATTTTTATTTATATAGATAATGTAATACGATATAGTACTGATCATAATAATACAATATTGTAATTATATATTTTATATTCCATGTAATACGACTAATAATGTATTGTCGAAGGCTTTCATGGCCGGAATCACTGGGTTGTTGTAGGTTTTTTCGGGCTATATTGCCATGGTCTAGAGGCATTCTCTCCTGACGTTTCACCTGCATCTATGGCAAGCATCCTCAGAGGTAGTGAGGTCTGTTGGAACTAGGAAAAAGGGTTTATATATCTGTGGAATGACCAGGGTGGGACAAAGGACTCTTGTCTGCTGGAGCTAGGTGTGACTGTTTCAATTGACCACCTTGATTAGCATATAATGGTCTGACAGTGCCTGGAGCAATCTTTTGTTGAGAGGTAATTAGATGTCCTTGTTTGGTTCCTCTCTGTTGTTTTGCTGTTGTAATTTTAGAGTTTTTTTTAATACTGGTAGCCAGATTTTGTCCATTTTCATGGTTTCCTCCTTTCTGTTGAAATTGTCCACATGCTTGTGTGTTTCAATGGCTTCTCTGTGTAGCCTGACATGGTGGTTGTGAGAATGGGCCAGCATTTCTGTGTTTACTAATAATATTACAATATAATGGTATAGTATGATATAATAATATATAATACTGATATTATACTATGATAATAATATAATATTGTGTGTGTGTGTGTGTGTGTGTATCTATCTATCTTGTAATCACCTGGAGGGCCCAAGTTTGCCCGTGCCTGTTTTGCAATGCTTTTTGAGAAATGCTTTTGCTGGCATGACTTCTGGTTATGCCAGCAAAAGTTCCTTTGGAGACTTGTAGATGGAAGAATGCCGTACTTCCTCATCTAAGTCGCCAACGGATAGCGTAAGTCAGCAACAGACTCTTGGACGCATCACGAAAACGGCTTTTTGTGTCACTTACCACCACAGCGAACAAGCTATATTTGGGGTTTTTCCGAAAGAGTGGATATATATAAGAAGACAAATCTAAGTTATTCAGCGGATAGTAGATGTCTGTTTTCAGTTTCTTTTTGTAATGTCCTTGACAGTCAAATCTGAAAGAGAAATCAAAGACTTTATTAGAGTTTCCATACAAATGCTTTTTTTGCAGGCAGTTTTATGTTGCAAATATATGGGTTTGAAGGAAGAGAAAACACCAAACTTTGACATACAAACAACATATTGGTGAGCAGTTTGGGTGACGCTGTTGTCAACTGAATATCATTATCTCAGGCTGGATCTACACTGCATTATAATGCAGTTCATGGCACGAGAAAAGCATTTGGTTGGTTGTTGTTGTTCATTCGTTCAGTCGTCTCCGACTCTTCGTGACCTCATGGACCAGTCCATGCCAGAGCTCCCTGTCGGGCCGTCACCACCCCCAGCTCCTTCAAGGTCAGTCCAGTCACTTCAAGGATGCCATCCATCCATCTTGCCCTTGGTCGGCCCCTCTTCCTTTTGCCTTCCACTTTCCCCAGCATCATTCCCTTCTCTAGGCTTTGCTGTCTCCTCATGATGTGGCCAAAGGACTTCCACTTTGTCTCTAGTCTCCTTCCCTCCAGTGAGCAGTCGGGCTTTATTTCCTGGAGGATGGACTGGTTGGATCTTCTCGCAGTCCAAGGCACTCTCAGCACTTTCCTCCAACACCACAGCTCAAAAGCATCTCTCTTCCTTCGCTCAGCCTTCCCTAAGGTCCAGCTCTCACATCCGTAGGTGACTACAGGGAAGACCATGGCTTTGACTAGGCAATGGATCTTTGTTGCCAGTCTGATGTCTCTACTACTTTATCGAGACTGGACATTGCTCTCCTCCCAAGAAGGAAGCGTCTTCTGATTTCCTGGCCACAGTCTGCATCTGCAGTCATCTTTGCGCCTAGAAATACAAAGTCTGTCACGGCCTCCACGTTTTCTCCCCCTATTTCCCAGTTGTCAATTTGGTTAGTAGCCAGAGACAAATGGCACAGCCTATTGACAAGAACCTATTCTGGGCACCACAATTCAAGAGAGATGTTGACAAGCTGGAATG